TGTTTCCATCTTCCGACTCTCAGTTCCAAAGGAACCAATCCGCCCCTTACTCATCCCACCCCTGCCATTCATGCACATTGGGTCTACGCACCTCATTCGTCCGCCACCCATCCACATTTTCGAATGCTATTTCTACTGGTGCGGCTTGACCGGGCGGGAAACTGGCTGTCAGTACTGTTATTTAACCGGGACTGGGCATTCATCTAGATTTGGAGCTGAAGCTGGGCCAGGAAATGCCGGCTAGATTTGGGGTTCCGAACAGTGGGGGAATATTAGGGCTCTTGGAGAGAAGGAAAATGTCTTTGACCTTGAAGGTATAGATATTGATGGTGGTAATGAGATTCGAGGTGAGTAATGGCTAGATATTCTATGCATACCATCTTACGTGTGTTCTTGTATGGAAAGAGTAATTGGACTCTTGGATATTTACATATTTACACCCGGTTGATATAGTGCAAAGAAAGCTAGATATGTACTCTTCTACTATGTAGTAATATAAAATCAAATGAACCAAGCCTCCATTGTATGGAAAGTAATCCTTCCAACTTCCTAGTGACGTTGTAATAGCTCCAGATGTTGTGTGGTTCAGAAAGGCAAACGGCGGTATGGGGCCACCCTTGGCTGCCATTGACCAATCCACAACGAGAGGCAACTTTACAATGTTGTAAATATGGATCCTGAATGGAATATGGATCTGCCTTGACCACGGTGATTAGCTGACTGTGAAACCCGCAGGTGGTATGAGCTATCTTAAGAACGATTTGGCTGCAAGGGACAAAATTTGGAGTGGATGAGCTAAGTCAGTGTATTGTGCCCAGAGGCGAGAAAGCGGTTGTGGAAAGAGAGGCGAGGCCTGGCCAGATTCTAGTGAACCATAGGAAATTCCAGTTCCAAAGACAATCCCTCTGTGGTTCTTTTTTCCGAGGCGATGAGGATCGGCGAGGTGGGCGGTGTGGACCAAACCACAATGTGGTTCTTTGCCATCCGATCGATTCTGGATTTCCCCAATTCTCTCCACATTGGGGGCGCTTTTCCAGAAATCAGTTGGGCATCTGGAAATCTGGGCTGGGATTTGTCAAGGTGACATCACGACTCTTTAGCTGCGAAGATATCAAGGATATCAAGATGAGTGTTGGATACAACTCATTGGAGTCTGAGTTGAGGGAATTATGAGGAACAGAATTATAGAAAGATTATCAAGGTAGGATAGTAGGATAGTAGGATATAGGATATAATCACGGTCATGCATAAAACCCTTGAACGGGGAAGTTGTTTCATCCACGGGTCCAAGAATAGCCTTCCTTTACTCTGATTGGTTCCAGGTGCACCCCTATAACCTTCAGTGGGGAACTCTCCACAAACAAAGCCAGACCCTGTCAGGGCCTAAACCCTCATTTCCCCCCGTTCTCGATCCTCTGGGTCTTTCTTCTTGGTCCCTGACGTACCTTCGTTTTTCCCTTTATAAGCCTCTCTTTTTCTTCTTTTGTCACTCTTTGGTCGAATCTCTCATTTTAATCGACCTCATCTTTCACAATGCGTACCTCTGGTCTTATTTCCCTTCTGCTGGCCGCTGCCCCGGCTCTGGTCTCTGCTAAGGGTACTCTCGGTTTCTCCCTCGGTGACAAGAACGCCGACGGTACCTGCAAGTCCACCAGCGACTATGAGGCCGATTTTGATGCCCTGAAGGGCCTGTCCACTCTCGTCCGTACCTACTCCGGCACTGAGTGTAAGACTCCTCAGAACATTCTGCCTGCTGCCAAAAACAAGGGCTTCAAGGTCGTTCTCGGCATGTGGTAAGTTTTTAGTTCTCCCCCTCACCCCCTAATTAGAACAATCTTTTTTTAACCGGAAATTTTCTTCTTTAGGGTTGGCAAGCCTACCGACACCAAGAACCTGTTGGAGGAGCCTTCCTTCAAGGGAGATTGGGCTGCCATTCAGAAGGCCATCCCCGGTTACGAAGACGTCATTCACGCTATCACCGTCGGATCCGAGACACTCTACCGTGGTGACTTGACTGGACCCCAGCTCCACACTTATATCAGCCACGTTATGGATAATGTGCCCAAGGGTGTTCTTGTCGGCACCGCCGAGAGTTGGAACAAGCTCGCTGATGGAACTGGCGACGCCCTGTTCACTCAGGAGCCCGTTGTGAAATATGTGTAAGTGGGGAATGAAGGACAACAGGAACTTTGCGCGCCAATTCTGACCTACTTTATAGCTTGGCCAACGCCTTTGCTTACTGGCAGGGTACTGCCGCCGACAAGGCTCACAAGACCTACTTCGATGACATGGCTGGCGCCATGGAGCACATTCAGAAGATTGCCGGTGACAACGCCGACAAGATCAACATTGTTACTGGTGAGACCGGCTGGCCCACCGATGGCGGTTCCGACTACGAGGATGCCAAGGCCGGTACCAAGAATGCTGAGAAGTTCTGGAAGACTGGTATCTGTGGTATGCTCGACTGGGGTGTTGATCTCTTCTACTTCGAGGCCTTTGATGAGTCCTGGAAGCCCGATACCAAGGGTGACAATGGCCAGATGAAGGATGAGCAGCACTGGGGTCTGTTCACCGCGGACCGCAAGGTCAAGTTCGACACCTCTTGCCCCAAATAGACTATGTGTGACTATTTGTTCGCTTCGTCTGAGTGTCTTTGCTTTGATGGCTTGCCCGCAACTAGCGGTTTCTTTTTCAGATTGTATTCATTTATTCCGGAGATTTTCATCTCCTCCAATGGAAATATGGTTTAATTGGCTGTATAACTAGATAATAACACGGACATTGCTGCGGCGTTGCGCTGAGTTCAAATTGCAGTTACAACACAAAATATAAACCGGGGAGCAGTTGCAGTTTACAATGACTACATAGATAGTACAAGTATGTAGTAAATAATTAAGAAAGTTACTTCAGTAACACTTTAAGTTTGCTATTTTACTCTTCACAATTAATCAAGTTCACCAACACTCACCATCACCAACCAGAATCACAGGTTATACAGGGTCCTGAACGCTGTTACCCTATTCAACAATACTCGAGGATTGTCGAATTCTACCAATTGCCCATCCTTAAGCACCGCGATGCGATCAAAATCTAGAATACTGTCTAGACGATGCGCGATTGAAATGATCGTAGCTTTTTCAAACTCCCGGCGAATCACTTTTTGGATCACTTTATCGGTGGCTAGATCAATGGGTAGAACTTCTATATGACTATTGACTTTCGACTGTTAGCTCTGACTATTCCAAATTGTCTTCTATAGAAAGAAAGCAGGTACTTGCCCCACACTATGGCAACCACTGGTGGCAGCGCAAAAGCAAAGTAGCCAGTTGCTATACACATTAATATCGCGCCCATTATCGTTTGATTCATAGAAACCACCAAGTCAATAAGTGTAAATGGAAGCTCCTTGTCAACGATTGACATATCCTGCCTGAATCTGTTCCTGCACGTTAGCGAGTATAAACAGCAATAAAAGGTACGCCACGAGCCTACCGGTTTGTGGTGATGCCTGTATCTATACTTGTGAAGAAGGACAATGGAGCATCCATGACCGATCTCAGAAGTCCAGCATGCAGTTTTTCCGCACTGCCTGGCACCACGTAGAGAAAAAAGTGGTAGACGGAGACATTCCAAAATATGGCGCCTATAAACAACCGGTGTAAAACCGAGCATGTTCACAGCCTAGAGATAAATGTCTTTGTTATCCTCTTGTACCAAAGCCACACCCATAACGCATCACTGACCTTCATTGACCCAAGAATGGTGGCTGTGGCATCGATACGTGTCTGTATACCTTCGTTCCACCGTTCCTGCGCTTTGCCGATGTGATACGAGATCTGTATGATGCACAGCGTTGACACAATTGCGACTACGGCGGGGCCTAGGAAGGATAATCCCAGCTCTTGATACAGTAACCACATGGCGATTCCCAGTTCAAGTGGAACTGCCCAAATTTCATAGAGGTTTTGGAAGCCTCCGCATATTGTTTCTAGAGACAGCGCACGAGAAAATGAGTTATATTCTAAATAGTCCACAAACCTAGCCAATAAAAAAAAGGCTCACCGGTATCATTTGACCTTAAGGTCACAGCTGCCGACTTGTCGAGGGATATAATGCTTAGGCTAAGCGTTTTTGCATAGATCATACTCACTAAAGTACCGCGAACAACGGTAGTAAACCAAAAGGTCATATACGTATATATACTATTTACAATCGCTGTTCCTAGGAACACGATGCCAAATGCTCTAGTCAAACCCTAGCCGATACTCTTCGCGTCTGTTTAGGACGTAACAAAGTGCGTTATCCGGGAAAGGAGAAATGGTTAGGTATATCGAAAGGCAATCAAGCAGAGACGAGAAAAGACACAGAGGAGCAGCTTGCGGCGGGTTACATTCAATATCGACTAGAACAATGTATAAGAGCGAGATTTGTTGGCTTTAGGCTATTTTTGCTGGGCCTGTCAGCGAAGCACGGTTGATTTCATCTCTTCTTCAATTGGAAATAAGTCATTTGTGTAGATAATCCGTCGAAACCCGATCGTTAATAGGGTGTTCAGCCACTAGTAAAGTGCTCGGCTATAGATCCCACTAGTTACCTCCGGGTGAAAGTCCCGGTATGGTCCTAGGAGGATGTTTTGCTTCTCGATTGCTTCTATTATTGTAAGGGTAAGCTTTACTGCTACTGTTACTGTAGACACGGCTGCGATGTGTTGGGGGGGGCACCTTGCATCCATAGTGTCCTTGTGTGTGCAATATCAAACAAAAGGGTGACCATTAGATAGATATTGATAAGTGAAGACGGCCGAGCAGAGCGAACATGCTCAATGTGAGAAAGCCAGCATAGTCCTAAGGCGTCGGCTAATGAAGTTGGTGTGCGAACGCCAGAATTCGTTGCGTATATGGTTAAAATAGCAACTTGAAGAGAAGTAAAAACGACGAGTAAGAACTAATGGGTGATATAGGTCCTTATTAGTGACAACCTTGTAGTTGTTGGCTAGAGAGTCAGACCGGCTTGTTGCTCTGTAGGAAGCTACGGGAGACTTTGTGTGATTGTCCGTACAGTGACCACAATCGAACGGGGATCAAGACCAGCAACAGAGCAGAAGGCAAGATGGAAAATATTGTAAATTCGAATAAGGGACTGAAATCAAACTGATTCGGACTAGGCGCCTGGGGCCCAAAGGCGTCGTGGCCTGTCTCAAATGGTGTGGAGTTGGATGGTGCCATTATGCATTAGAATAGATGTAGGATTCATGCTCGGTGACAAGTCTTTATATTTTTCTCGAATTATGCTGTACCTGAACTTGTCGATTATGACTCAGATGCATGAGCTCAACTCGCTACACTACAGTATTGCAAATTCCTGCCTTCCACTTGCGTGATTTATACCTTGTCTCCTCTGTGGTTGTAACCAATTCATTTCAGTGGGAAAACAATGCAAATGTTCGTGGATGTTATACATCAAATTTTTAGGTAATCCGTATAGATAGCCTCTTGATTAAAGCGCATAGAGGAGAGAAAAGATAAGACCAGAAGGGGTTTAGCCTGGGGGTGCGCAACGGGCAATACCCGACGCCCGTAGACAAATCCTCACCAATCAGCATGAAGGCACAAACCTTGGAACCCATTTGTCGCATGATAGACGCTGATTGGCCAATGTAAAGACAACCCATTAGTCATACTGTTAACACGGTTCTCGGGGGATGGTACGGTACAATCAAATCCATGGAAAGCTGACCTTCTACCCCTGAATCTCTTTAGATCTCCAGTTTTCATTTGTTTACATTTACTCAAGCAAGGGGAAGTACACCTGAGGCCATGAGTACGCAGTATAAAACCAATCCTTAACTTTGGACAAGGCAAGGGTCATTTGAATCAGATTCAGTGTTGGGTACATGTGCGTTATGCGTACATATATGTAGCATAGCAGTTGACACTGTCAAAAAAAAAAGCCAACGAGACAAGCTAAGCCAACGGCCTCGGTCTACGCTAACCAAATAATAAGCGTTGAATGGGCCTATCGTACCCTGTACACCGCATTAGCTCGGACTACCCACACTCTAGCAGGTACCCAGTACGACGATCCAATACCCGTGACGTCCGACCTTTTTTTCCCCTTAGTTCCCCATCCTGGTCTTTGATGCTTCAGACTCGAGCGTGCTTCTGATCTCTCTATTCATTTAATTTCCTTGCAGGGTGCACCTACCCAGAAAAGAAAACACGACAACCTGCACATTATCTCGCCCCAGGTTGTCTTGCCAGCAGTGATCTTCAATTCCGATTTGATTTCCATGCGTCAACATTCTGGACGATAAGCGGAGCGGCAAGCAAGTGCTTGCTGCAGGAGTCGACACGGAAGGTGTGTGTGTATGCATTGATGCTATCTCTTTTTGAACCCTTCTCGGGATTGTGGAATTGGGATCCCTACTTCGCGCCACGCGATTTGGACTTTATTTTTCAACTCCCTTGATTCAATCGCACTTCTGCCCTTGACCCCTCCAAATATGTCACTCTAACCACGCCGGATGACTACAGATCTAGATCACTCCGTCTCTTCCGCCATCTCGACGCCATCTCCACAGTTCCACTCGCGGGACACGCGCCTCACCCGTGAAACGCGTCTGGCTCCCTCACTGCTCTTGTCCTCTCCGCCATCAGGAGACTCGAGTCCGTCGACGGCTGGTTCCCCCGGTCAACGAACCTCTCCGCGGAGCATCACCCTCGAACCCCCGCCTCTCCCATTTTTATCTTCATACCGCGCAACCGAAGAATCTCGGCCCTCTTCGCCGGTCAATCGTGAGGCGGAAAGCAGCATCTACTACACCACTGAGTGGGGATCCCCATATGCAGCACCGAGTACTCGGAGACTGTCAGTGACCAATAGCCAAATCGAGTTCGTTGGGGTCGACCACGGATCTGGTCCCAGCTCGCCTGTCTCATCAGTAGCCGACCACACCGAGTTGCGGAGATCGAGGGCTGCCAACGACGACACACTTGAACCCGTGGACCGCGATATCCCCGCCAATAACGGAGATAAATCGATACGGGACTTTACGCAAGATTGGATCAACCAGTACCTTACTGGTCAGCCTAGAACAGAGCGCAGCAATTGGCTCAGCGACGACTCAGGAAGTGAAGCGCCTTCGTTCATTACTGCGAGGAACCACTTTGCCGACGACGCTTCGGACGACTGGCTCGGCCTGGAAGACGACTTTCGTTCCGACGATCTATTGAAAACTCCAACGCTCTCTGATTTCGTTGGGAAAAAAGCGGCTGCGCGTGCAAAAGTCAACAAAACCTTACACAAACGCGCTGATACCCTGCGGCAGGAGGACTTTTGGGGGTTTGCTTACGACAAAGATTCACCACAAAACAACATGTCAGACCCAAACACACTCACTGTCGAGGTAAACTCGCCGGTAGAAAAGCCGTTACCTCCTCCGCCCGCAAACGCGACGGAGGACGCCGCAACGATGGAAGACCCACCCAACCCGGGTCCACTAAAAGCACAGGTCTCTGATATCAGCAGATCAGCCACCCAAACACCACGGCGGAGAAGGAAACTGAATTGGCGTGGGAAAGCCTGCATAATCGACCTACCACATGATGATAAGAGAGGCTCCGGGCCTGGGTATCGTCTCCTAACACCTGCCGACGTTCAGCAGCGGATGCAAGAATGGGAGAACGAAGGGTTCGATGTTCGTGGGTTCACCATTGGTGATTCCGAGGACCCCTCCATAACGACGACTCTGGGAGGTCTCAGCCGACCCCTATATCCCGATCCATATGACCTCCATGAAATTTCCAAGAGCCAACCGCTTGTCGTCAACTTCCCAGACAGGGCCAAGTGGGAGTCTTATATCACTGAGCTTCAAGAAGAAAAGCTACGCGCTCTTGGGGTGTCATTCGGCGATGATGAGCCTGAACAATCAATTTCACCCGATTACTCGCTCAACCCCAGTGGCACACCTTTCCCAGGCCTTATCGCATCCCCGCCAATCCCTACTACGTCTGCAGCAAGCAATCCCCTTGGCCATATTCACCCATTCTCACCTCATTTCAATCAATCATCAATGCCTACGCCTGGTGCGATGGGATCCATTGCATCGCCTTCACAATTCGGTATGCAGACGCCATTCATGGGCGCGGAGCAAAATATGATGGGTGGATTCCCCTTCCAATTCCAGCCCACACCTCCTACTCAGGGATCTATGACTCCCCAAGGATTCGTAAATGCCCGGCAGCCAACTTCTTCGGCTGGCCCAGGGGCAATGGGCAACTTTTCCTCCATGCTATCGCCAGTGTCTCCGCTGCATGACCAAGGGTCTTTCCACCCCGGGTTCAACGATAAGGGTGTGTTCGATGACCAATATAGCCACGGCATGCACCAGGAAGGCCTGCCATATCAGGCTCCCCAGACTCCAGTTAATGGCCACCCAGATCACTTCCATGCATCGAACGTTGAGATTGCCCAGCCTACACCTCGAGGCCACGGTCATAATTTGAGCGAGACTCTGCAAAGAGGACTGGACCAGATGACACATACCGATTACCATCTGGAAAACTCGATCGACCGACAATTGGATGATGATTACCGTGATGTGAGCGACCACGCAGGCCTGAATCCCAACATGCTGAAGTCGCGTTGGGGATTGCCAGAAAATGAACACCACGCACAGAACCCTTCCCATCACGCACCTCATCCCTTCACCCAGCACCAGCTCCCTAACCAATTCTATGGAGACCAATATCAACAACATAATGGTCTTGATGCTTCTGATCTCGACACAAACCCCAGTGTTGCGGGTACGCCGCAGACTCGCCAAGGGCCGTGGCACGAGACCCAGCCCAGCGGCAACTCCTACCACGCAGGCCATCAGTCGCAGCTCTCGATTTCATCACTCAACGTTGAAGCCAAGGAATTCGACCCTACCGCATCGTTCAATTCCCAGCCTATGCCGTTTGGCAATGATCCATTCCAGTTCGGCGGCAGGAGCGAGCAAGGACTCGGTTTTGTCCCGCCTCCCTCGTTCGCGCCTGGTAGTAGTATGAACGGTCCAATTGATTCCAAGCTGAACCACAATGCCAGTGGTAGCAGCGGATTCAAGTTCTCCACGGCGTCGTTCAATGTTGACGCACCTGTTTTCAACCCCAACCCCTCAGTCAGCCTTAACTCGAATGCCAGCTCCGAGCAGCCTCCCGCTGGTCGCACCAAGATTTTCGGCGACATTAACATCAGCGAGATCACCACGCCTGACAAGAAGTCCAAGGCTATTCCTATCGTGCGACCCGATGAGGTCGAACAGGAGAACAATGAAAAAGAGCGGGTCATTGAAGTCGACACCAACGGTCGACCCGTGCAGCCTACCGACCGCCACAAGCGTGCGCGTCGGGGTGTTGGCCACCCTGAAGGCGAGGCTAGATACAGCATCTCGACCCACCCTCTGGGCGAGGCAGGCAACGCTCAAGCTTCGAGTGTGCTCCATGCTGTCGCGGAGGGCAAGGAGAATGCCATGCCCAAAGAGAACAATCCAGTAGAGCGGACGGGTACTCCTGTCAGCGAAGCTGACACTTGGACTTTGTTCGATGCGAAGCGCGAGGCCGAGAACGGGTCGCAAACCGGATCACCGGCCCGGGCAGAGACCTCTAAGGGTATTGTTGTCGAAGAACGTGAACCAAGGGAGCCTGCTGCAGGAGATGATACGTCTGTCACTGTCTCGAAGGGTGTCAATCACGATTCTCGTGGATCCAAGAGCTCGATTAAGAGCAGTGTGCTGTCACCCAATGCCCAGCCTTTCGAGTTCAAGCCTGCTGTTTCTGAATTTATTCCCACGACTGTTCAACCATCTAGCTTTGCTGAGCCAAAGCCTCTTGAAGCAAATGCCATCGAAGACCAGCCCATCGGAAACGCTGTCAAGAGTCCTGCTGAAGATAAACACAAGCAAGCTGGACTCATGGCTTCCCGCTTTGCCGCCACAAGCCCACCTAAGAAGACAACCTCTCTAGGTCAGCCTGAGGCCCAGACTCCAACCCGCGTAGAAACAGAATTCATCACTCGCCAGCCTAAGCATTACGACAGCCCGTGGGACTCCGAGGACGACTCACCTGACGATGAGGAGCTGAACGCAGTCATGGAACAGCTAAACGACGACGACGCAGATGTCGGCATCGAGCGGCACGCGACTCCTTACAACACGATCCACGCGACTCCCTTCCAACCGCGACGCGACCACCTAACGGAGTCGATGGGCGGTCCCACGAAGGAGCAGCGGTTCGGTTCTGCGGAGGCCCGAAGCGAAGCCCCCAGCCCGAGCCCTGGTGGAGTCCCCAAGACCTACAAGCTTAGCATTCCCAAACTTGGCTCGGATATCGATGCCAACAGCAATGCTACCTTCTCTCCGCAGAAGAGCCTTATCTCTCGTCTGCAGTCCCCTGTTCGCCACCTTGTTACTGAGAATGACCATGTCAGTGACTGGGATGACATGATCTCCGCCGGTGAAGACGAGAAGTTCATGAACCGTAACCGCTTCTTCGACCGTCGCATCAATGATCTTGTTGGCACCGCGATCGACGAGCATTTGGGCCCTATGGAACGTGCCTTGGCTGTCATTCAGCAGTCGGTGGCTTCTATTGCCACTGGCACTGCAAGCAGAAGGGTTTTCCGCAGCACATCCGCCGAGATGGAAGACAGTGATGCTGATGATGAGGACGACGATGGCGAGGAAGCTTCAGTTCGCGATCGCTCGCCCCACAACATGAGGGAGCGTAAGCTGGAGATGCTCAAGAATGTTGTCATGGAAGCCTTAGTTACTCATGATATCCCTCAACGCGTTTCCCCTCACTCAAGCCACAGCGAGATGTCGCAGCTTAAGGAAAGCATTGCTGAACTGCAGGCTCTCACAATCAAAAAGCTTGCTCAGGACCCTGTTGGCGATATGCGCGAGATTCTAGAGGAAGCCATGGCCAAACAATTGGCCCAGCAGATCGCCTTGCAGAAGCCCCCGAGCCCGCGCCTGTCAGAAGCCGAGGAGATTGGTGCCGACAGCCTTATGCTCCAGATCGACGGCCTCAAGGGCATGTTGCGAGTTGCCGATGAGCGTGCCGAGCAAGAGTACAAGGATCGCCGCGATGCGCAGGATGCTATGACTGAGCTCCAGCGACTGTTGAAGTTTGCTGAAGAAGATGCTGCTCGTCACAGTGCTGCTGCAGAGGATGCTGAGTCTCGTCTCCTCCAGTTCAAGGAAGAGAAGATTCCCTACTTTGAAAAGATGCAGTTCCGCACCGAGTCTCTTTCCGAGGAGAGCGAGACTCTCAAGGTTACTATCGCTGAGCTGTCCACGAAGAACATCGCGCTTGAGGGTACCCTCGACGAGTACCGTCTTTCTAGCGATAGCTTCCGCCGTCAACTTGAAACTACTAAGGGTGAGAACAAGTCTCTGCATGAGACTATTGATCACTTGAGGACTCGCATCGAGGACAGCATGATCTCGCGCCAGAACCTCACCGAAAAGTTCGATCGCCTTCAAGATGACATGCTCAATGTCACTGCCGAGATTACCCGCGATCAAGCTGCCTGGCGCAGAAAGGAGGAAGACCAATCTGCTAGGTACAATGAGCTGCGCGCGTCGCACTCTCGTGAGCTCCAATTGCGCCAGAAGCTCGAGGAGGACGTCCGCGAATTCGAAAAGAACGAGCGGGAGGCCACAAAGCTGAGGTTCATTCATGAGCAATCGCAGCAAGAAAATGCTAGACTGGAGGAACTGGTCACTAATCTCCGAGCGGAGAACCATGACCTGCAAATCAAATCTGCCCGGTTCGAGCGAGAGTTCATCGAAGCCCGTGAGAGCAGCCGTGTCGAGATCCAACGCACTCGCTCCTCGATGGAGGCGGACCTTGACGCTTCTAACAGCCAGGTCAACATTGTGCGTGCCGAGCTGGAGGCCCAGATCATTCGTCTGCAGACTCAGCTTGACAACAACCGCATGGATACCGATACCTCTCGCGAGCGCTACGAGCTTCTCCTCGAGGAAGCCAGGGATTCGAAGGCCACCGCCCTAGCTGCTAAGGACCTTGCCATCGATGAGAACCGCAAGATTCATGAGCGCGTTCTCAATGACCTGCGTGAACGTCACGCTCGCGCTTTGCATAACTCTTCGGAGGATCGTGCACGCGGTGAGAGTCACAACATGGAGCGCATAGCTTTGTCCGAGGACAAGGCTAACCACCTGCAAGAGCGCGTGAACCTCCTTGAAGAGAAGCTTGAGATCGCTCAAGCTGCTGCTCGTGCTGCTGCCGAAGCAGCCCACAGCGCCAAGGCAATCCCCGGCCCAGTCCCGGCGGCCGCACCCTCGCACTCGCGGGCGACGCCGTCCATGTCCTACAACAAGGGATCTGAAGAACCCGAACGGATCTCTCCTCAAGCCCTGCGCGAGTCGATCTTCGTCCTCCAGGATCAGCTCCAGCAGCGTGAAACACGCATCGAGGAGCTTGAACAAGAAGTCTCCACGATAGATAAAGACGCGCCAAATAAGATCAAGGAGAAAGATACCGAGATCACCTGGCTGCGTGAGCTCCTAGGCGTCCGCATCGACGACCTGCAAGACATTATCCAGACCGTGTCCAAGCCTTCATTCAATCAGCAAGCCGTCCGCGATGCAGCCATCCGCCTTAAGGCCAACCTCCAAATGCAGCAGCAAGAAAAGGAACGCCTAACAACCGGCAACCTCCCCTCCCTCGCCGACCTTGCCGCCTCACCCCGCTCCCTCCCCCTAGCTGCAGCCGCCGCCTGGGGAAATTGGCGCAAAGGCCGCGAATCTGCCGCCATTACCTCTGAGCAGACTCCATCAAAGCCTAGTAACGCGAGCGCTTTCCTATCAGGCCTTCTAACGCCTCCCAGCTCTCATGTCCGAGAGAACGGTCCTGGCTCGCAGGCTAGTGCTGCCGCGCGGTTTGCGCAAACTCGCCCTTTGAGAGGCTTCAAATCAACCCCAAGACGCGGCTCGGTTCGCAGCCAGGCACCTATCACAGAACCGCCTCAGACGCCACCTCTTCTCCGTCGCTCGAGTTATGACCATGACGCTGAGCCGGCGAACTACGAGGACGGGAGCTTCGCGGATGAAAACGAGAGCACCGTTGGTGGGATGGTTTCGGCTTCGCCGAAGGAGAGAGACGATGAGGGTCCATTTGGGCCTCAGATCGATGAGGTTGGAGCTGAAGAAAGCGATCTTCAAGTCGACGCTGAAGCTGACGTCTCCTCTTCCGACGAACCCTCTACCGAGGAAGAGTGATCCCGCTGTCTTTGATCATCGCTCATAGATTGCTTTGAATTTTCCATCTCATCTCGGTGTTTCTTTGCTCTTTTTTCTTTCTTTTTCTTGTCAGAAAAATGACTACAGAACGAACCATCGATCTGTGATATCTTTGCATTTATCGTCTTACTGCTATCTCTGCCAGCCGCCAATTTCCCAGAATTCTCTCCTCTCGTTATATCCATATTCCCCCTTTCGACATACATACCTATCTTCCGGCTTCATGGCCATTGATCAATGTTTGCGTCTTCGGATTTGATACCACACCGTTATTTCGCTGCTTTTCTACCTCCAATCTCCCCCGAAGGTCTTGTACATTGAATATCCTACATTACTTTTTTTTTCATGTCCTATCGTTTACATCCCCTCTATACATACTAATAGTCAATCTGTCTCATTCTTTACTTTCTGATTGTTCTATATTATCCATGCATGTCCCCCCTTTTTGTGATGTCGTTGTCGGATGTAGCTTGTTGATACACGCTTCCCGTTGCGTTTTCTTGTAGTTTATTACTGTTCAAGTGTTTACTATTTCCAAATAAATTCAGCCTCTTTAATACGTTAAAATATAGGTTGGCTGGTACTGATTATAACCACTTCGGCCAACGAAATGCGCACCTGGATGGTCTTACCCAAGTAAAAGAGAATTTCTCCGCCCACCCTTTCCGCAGACAAGAGGGCCACTTTCCAGCTCTTGCTGACCGTTTGTGGGAACATGGTACTGACCCGCCAACCCGTCACGCATGGGTTCCAGCACGTTCTACGTAGCAAGCTTAGGAGACTATTACCGATATCTACTGGAACGAAATCTTCGATATCACTAACTTCGGTCGTGACGATCGGGTCTGTGTAACGAGTCAGAATTGGGCCATGTCAACTCCATCGTCCGCTGGGACCCCGCGTCCATGCGCGAAAGCTACAACATTTTGGCTGATCTTGTCGCCATTGAAACCTACAATACCTCCACCTTCATCTTCGAGTTCTATGGCCGCAAAGGTGTCCGCGACTTCCCTGATGGCTTGAACGTTGTTCCACCGGAGGAGCGGAACAAGTACAACATGTTGGCTGCCTTCTTATTCTGGTCCGGTGATAATGGGTCTGAGCTCGCCGTTGCCCGCGAGTTCGGAGAGAGGCTTCAAGTTGCCAGCTGCAACGGTGAGATTGCTCACTCTTATGTCAATTACGCCATGGGCGGCGAGGAGCTTCCGCAGGTGTACGGCCGTAACGTTAACCGCCCGGAGAAGCTCCAGGCCATCAAGACCAGGTTTGATCCTTACAAAAAGCTTGGATTCTATGCTTCCCTCGCAGGCGCTTGAGGGCGAAGACGAAAGGATAGTGACGGTGAGGGAGGAAAATGAACACAGTCGGAACTTAGATGAAGTACTACATCTTTTAGGTTTAGGCATCTGTGCCAGTGCCGGTTCTCAATCGCAACCATTGCGGTTTAGGGTTGAGGCCAAGGTTTAGCCTCAACTGCTGTTTATGGCGAAGTCTGGCTAACACACGGTCTGCTTTTATACCTGAGACATTAAGCTCGAGCCGCTCTTAATTAGAGAACTGAAGGCAATCAACATCATGAAACGGATAGAGTTCTCTGCCATTTCCTACGCTCCTCGGTCATAACATGTTTTCTTGATAAGATGTAGCTTCGAAAAATGAGGGCGGCAGCAATGCTATCAACGTACTAACTATCACAGTATAAATGACCCTATGGGGCTAATCCTTTGGAGGTATCCATAGTCTGCGGAGCTCTGAGTGCATTAGTGTCACTGGTTGGACACTGGGCGTGACTGTGTAACGCCTCTGTGTATTGGTGCACCCTAGCCGATACCAGATATCAGATCTAGAAATTAGAAATTAAACATCTTTTGTATGACTTGCCCATACAAAATGTATTTAACCACCTCGTAGGATATAAGATTTATCAACCCTCGAATTAGTTAGGGAAGAGATAAGAAGATATATATAGCCTACAGGAAGTCCATTTGATATAATCAAACTGATAAATAATATCAAGAGAGCAAGCACCTAGTATTATTTTACATATAACTTCATATGTAGTGTCTTTTCAAACTATTCCTCTTCTTCCACATCAAACATAGAGAATTAGTACTGGCATCAAATTCAATGGGCTAGAACCATATCACATTTTGAATTCTTTCCCTGCGAGGTGTTTTAAGTATCTTTTGAATGGGCTTGTCATACAAAAGGTACCTAATTTCTAATTTTCTAGATCTGATATTTGGTGAAAATCTAGTATTGGCTAGGGTGCACCAATACACAGAGGTGTGTTGGGCGCTTAACATGGTTACAATTGTTACATATGCGTCGGAGAATTTCCCCGTTGCAGATATTAAGCATCTCATCCAGTGAGATCGATAGTTGACTGGTACAATCAAGTTTGACCATGTCTAAATTCACTTCTCTCTGCTGTGAGTCTTCTATTTCATTGAATATTGAATATACTGTATGATGCTTTCTCGCTTTGTATCTAAAATTGGTCAATTGGAACTTTCTGTTATTGTTTTAACACGAACATACATAGTTGTGGATGAAATATATGTTGCGATATACCTTGCAAGATTTTAAATGATTGTTCAAGTAAACATCAATCCCATAGGAGACCCGACGAAACCAACCTTCAAATAGACATATAAAGACCGATTATCCTATATTACAACCTAAATCCAAGTCCAGTATACATCGAGCCAAGACCGAATCTCAAGGCGGAGCGGTGTTTATTGAAAGTTGGTCCGAGCGCCGCCAATTGACACCTTGCGTGTTGACCAACAACTAACATCACCACCACTCCACTCGTCAATCCCCCCAGACTCATCGGAGTTAGCCGAAGCCTTACACTATGCGATTCTCAACAAGCACCATCCTGGTTACCGCGCTGGGATGGATTACCGCCGCGACCGCACACACCATCCAACTCAAGGCTCACACACGAGAATGCTTCCACGAGTCACTGCACCGCGACGATGTCATGACTGTCACTTTCCAGGTTGGAGATCGGGAGTTTGGAGGGAGTGGAAACCTTGAGGTTGATTTCTGGGTATGAACTATCCCGGTCCTGGTCTTGATGTTGGGTGTTTCGGGTGTCGCCCGGGAGTCCTGTTCTGCTCCGATGGTGGTACTGGCATGATATATCGGATTCAGAAACCGAGAGATCTACGTCTTCCAGGACTAGTCCAGCTGCTACACTGGGATATAGGGACAGTCCAAATGGAGAACGCAAATGCTAACGCTCGGTCGCCGCAGGTCGAGGATCCCCTGAGAAACCGCCAGTACTTCAAGCAAGCCGTTACCTCCGACGACTACTCGTTCACCGCACAGGCGGACGGCAAATACAACTACTGCTTCAGCAACGAGGGTTGGACCTCGAACTCCAAGGAGGTCTCCTTCAACGTCCACGGAATTGTCTACGTGCCTGAACACGAGATGGCGCAGGATCCCCTCGAGGTTGAAGGTAAGCGCCGGGAACAACAGCCAGCAGAAGAATATTGAGACTGATCATCTGGTACTATCTAGTTCGCAAACTCTCCGAGGCTTTGACGCAGGTGAAGGATGAGCAATCGTACATTGTCGTGCGCGAGCGAGTACACCGCAATACCGCAGAGAGCACCAACGGCCGCGTGAAGTGGTGGAGTATGTTCCAGCTTATGGTGGTTATTGGCGAGGGTGTGTTCCAGGTGTGGTGGCTCAAGAGATTCTTCGAGGTACGTGTGGTTCTTTTGATTGAAACACCGAAAGATGAGATACTAACGATATGCAGGTCAAGCGTGTGGTCTAAACTTGATTTGCCGTCTTTCCTTGATCAAAAACATCTCCTTTTTCCCCTTTTGTTATGCATCGATGAGCGGCAATTGTGGATTTTGGTATTTCTGGAGCAGTTCGTTTTCAGCGCGATCTGCCAGGATAAATTTATCACGTTTTCACGCCATGGTGTCATGCGACCATTAAGTCTATATAATATAAATCTGTATTACCGGTGACCCATATGACCTTCGTGTGGACTTGTATACTTGGTACTGTAGTTGTCCTGAGGATGCCAGTGGCTGGTAAAAGTACCGCAACCCAGAAGAAATGCGGAGATACATGAATTCTGATCCAATTGATCATGTTTGGATAGCAAAATAAAAATAAAAATAAAGGCCCTTTTCAAAGTACAAGGGGTTTCTCGCAAAATTACTTTCACCGTGACGGGTATACATTGACCCCGCAACTGCGCAAAGACAACGTATAAATCCCGTTCTATCAATGCAAGGGTGGAAAGCCTGACATTCGAGGATAAGAAAAAAAAGCCCCGATATCACGAGCACCTTACATGGTATTCTACTTTAAATAGTGATGGATGAGGGAAACTCCAGCTTCCTGAACGACCCTGATCCCAGCGATCCGGTCTTCCATGTTTGCTGGGGTCGACAGTCGTGTTCAAGCTGCCTGACTGGTAATGTTGCCTGCAGCTGGTGTGCCATCGTAGGTCACATCCTCTTATGACCAACTTTGTTTTTGTAGTCAAGTTTTACGTTTCTCTCCTTCTCTCCCTTCCTCGTCATTTGCATTCCACATGCGCAAGCTCTCCACCGTACTCGTTTCATATCGTGCTCCCTTGCGTCGCAGAATGGGGAGAGGGGTTTAAACCACACCTCCCACAGGCCCCCATTATTACCTTTTTGCTTTGACTTGATCAGCACATTTAGACCCATGATCTTCTACTCCGTGCCGGAAGAAACTGACTATTGATTGTTATGCTATAGTCCTCGACCTGTGTTCCTAACCCATCGCGGGTTCCCATACTTGCGCCTTTCGGCTCAGAAACCATCTGCCCCCTTGGCTCCAAGGAGAGGTGGGAACTGAGAGCTATGCCGTTTGGGTGCCACGCTAGTACCGTGACTGTTCTGTCAGTAATGAGTGCTGTGCTTATGACGCTGGCGTTGGGCGTGGCAGGGGCTGGATTGGTGTGGCTTGTGCGCCGGACTCGATGGCGTTGGAAGGAGGCAGAGTATGGGGAGCTTGACGAGGAAGGGCAAAGATCATCTAGGTGGCGAGGTTGGGATTTGGGGCTTGCAGCCTTTGTTGGCCTCTTTCCTCACTGGACTCGGACGGAGGGTCAGCTTGAAGTCGAGGAGGAGATAAGGCCGCTGTTGGAGTAGACTTAAAATCACAGGTGCTGCCATCTTTATGTCTATGGGCTGATTATGAAATGTATGAGGGTTGTATCTTGGTATGTTGCTATATAAGTTGCTACCCCAATCAAGCGATACAGTTGATCATCTCGCGTGCAACTAGAGCAATCTCCTCAGCAGTCTGCTTGTTTCTTGGAATTAAATGCCCCGCGCCATGATCAAACAGATCAGCACTGTCTGGATCGCACATATTGTACAGTGCCATTGACCCATCAAGGAACGGATCCGACGCACCAACAACATGGAAGGTGGGAATAGTGATTGGTTCTTCATCGTAGTCGTCAGCCGTAAGAAGCTGGCCTGTTACTGGATGCACTGGTGGCCATCCACTGAAAAAAATCGCGTATTTAATTCGAGGCCTCCGACCAAGTTCGCTCTCTCTTCTTTGTTCCTCGAGAATAAGGGACGCGCCAACTTGGGCGCCCTCAGAGAAGCCAATCACACCCTCAATGTCGTGTTCATTGTCAAGAATGGCAACCAGACTGTCCACGACCTCGACGATACACGAGAATGTGGGATCATCTGCCGCCTTTGCGGCGGCTTTGATTGCCTCTTCTGGGGTGTCGCGTTTCGGGAAGTCACTCATATTCGCGTGGACCCGTTCGGGTCCATCGACCCTGATGAAGGTATAGTTGGGTGGTGGACCGAAAAATCCGGCGAATTCTGGGGGAACATGCACCTCGGTGGCTCCCTGAGTGTATCGAAAGCTGGCATTTCCATTGGACTCGAGGGCATCCGCGAACGGGCCTGGATCCACTATTAGTTCAACGTTCTCTTTCAACGTTGATCGCATCGAATGCAGCTTACCTAGCTGTGTTTGGAGAGCCTGTATATTCAATGTCAACTAATGACTTGTGATGAAAAGGGCATTATATACCTTGGCGCTGCAATAGCCTCCTGGGAGGCATAGAAACTTCATCACGGTGATCAACTGGGGAATATCCGCGGAGAAGACGCGAGATGGAATACCAGCCGGAGTGTTCTATAAAGCGTCTTTCTACGCGAGGAGGCACGGACGAACTATGCCATCAGGTATCTGCCATCATCCCGGGGGTTTTGCCCCTGTGGTTAGAATGTACAAAAATACGCACCCTCGCCTTAGCAAGGCACCGAAAAGAAACACTATCCAAACCATCGCAGAGACATGGTTTGGAGCGCAAGATCAGATCTACTAATCCTGATCTGCAACCCTGGAAGCCAAAAATTGAGAAGAAATGAGTGGAGTTGATGCTTTGATGCACGGATGATCCAGGATCCCATTGACGTGCCTGCGAGTTGCCGACTTCGTCATCAAGGAAGACAGGCATGTGCCTTCCCAAGTTCTCTCGACCTATCATTGCCTGAATCAAGGTTAAATCCCCTATGCCAATCAGGAAACCACTGGGAGGAGATCGGCACGCACGCTTGATGGTCATGCAAGGGCGGTTTATACTCCTAAACAAACTAATAAACCATTTTTACACTCTTTATTATTTGGTGGCTTTCAGGAAATACTTGGATGAACCGATCGCCCGTTTTTAATGCTCCGTGATTGTACTATTCCACACATTCTTTTCTTGCAAATCGATATTAGTTTCTTTGGACACTTGCTGGACATTGGTGGTGATTACGCTGCCAGGTACATAATTCAACCTCTTGAAACCAAACACCGAATCTATCAAAAGATGCGCCTTCAACAGCCCTGTGGGACTGGAACGCCAGTCACCGAGATCGCAAATGTCTCGTTGCAGGAGATGCCTAGTGAGAACCCCGATAATGCCACTGGCGATATACCGAAGCGAATAGCCATCATCGGCATGTCCTGCCGCCTCCCAGGAGACGTTTCGACGGCTGAAGATTTCTGGGACCTCTGCTCTCGAGGTCGAAGTGCCTGGTCGCCATTTCCGAAGACTCGCTTCAACCCCGATGCCTACTATCACCCAGATCCTGATAGACCCGGCTCTTTCAACCCAGTGGGAGCCCACTTTCTGAAAGAAGACATTGGCTTATTCGATGCGCCCTTTTTCAACATTACACTGGTAGAGGCACGATCAATGGATCCGCAGCATCGAATTTTCCTCGAATGTGTGTATGAAGCGCTCGAGAATGCTGGAATCCCGAGCCATGAGATCACCGGCCAAAAGATAGGAGTCTTTGCCGGCGGCTCATATCCCGACTATGAAATCAACAACACCAGAGATATCTCAGCTATCCCTATGTATGCTGCCACTGGAACGGCCATGGCACTGCAGGCGAATCGGATTTCGTATTATTTCAACTTGAATGGGCCTAGTGTTACCGTCGACACAGCTTGCTCTTCCAGCTTGTCTGCTCTCCATTTGGCTTCTCAGAGTCTACGGAACGGTGAATGTTCGATGGCCATCGTGGGAGGGTGTCACTTGAATATAATTCCAGAGCCTTTTGTCTCGATGACACGTTCTAGGTGAGTGAAATCGACCGATCTCGTGAAACACATAAGCTAATTACGCCGGTCTGAAAGATTGCTTTCCGACACTGGTCGCTCATACCCATTTGATCACCGCGGAACTGGCTTTGGTCGAGGCGAAGGTGCTGGTTGTATTATATTGAAATCTCTCGAGGACGCCGAGGCTGCTGGAGACGCCATCCGATCTGTAATTATCAACAGTGGTCTCAACCAGGATGGGCGGACCAGAGGTATTGCAACGCCAAATGGGAAGGCACAGGAGGCTTTGATTCGTCAAGTCTATAAAGAGGCACGTATAGACCCGTCCTTGACAGGATTTGTTGAGGCTCACGGCACCGGGACCAAAGTTGGTGATCCACTCGAAGCCACTGCATTGAACGCCGTCTTTGGAAAAGGACGGACTCCGCGTCAGCCATTGCTTATCGGGTCTGTCAAATCGAACATTGGTCACACAGAAGGAACAAGTGGCGTTGTTTCAGTGATCAAAACAGCTTTGGCGCTTGAGCGAGGCTTCGTACCACCAAACTGCAATTTTGAGAAGGCGAACGACGCGATACCCATGGAAAAGTGGAACATGAAGGTGAGATCAAGGACCAACTTGAAGTATTAACGAACCCAGCTAAACGCCCAACTAGGTACCCAAGAAGCTGATGCCGTGGCCTCGTGGCAAACCATATGCAAGTGTGAACAACTTCGGCTTTGGCGGGACCAATGCCCATGTTATTCTACAGCGTGGTCCCAGATACGAAGGCCAACTTGCAGCGAACAACGATCCTCTCAAGCGCAAGTTGTACGTGGTCTCTGCGTACGATAAGCAAGCTACTATTCAGCTTGGAAAATCCATTGGAGCGTATCTCGACCTTTACCCAGTGGTTTTCAACGACAGCACTTTGGATAACATGGCCTACACGCTGGGACAGCGACGAACATTCATGCCATGGAGATTGGCATCATCTGCAATCCTTGGACAGGAGCTGACTTCCTCACTGTCTACTGACGCAGTGCCTGTTCGTTCTTCCAAAGAGCCTACTATCGGTTTTGTGTTTACTGGACAAGGTGCGCAATGGCATGGTATGGGCAAAGAACTTCTGAGTACCTACCCGGCTTTCAACCAGACTATGCAAGACGTGGATGCTTGCTTGAAATCCCTCGGTGCTACTTTCTCAATTATCGGTATGTCCCAATTCCAACACTGCCCACTGCGATGTTGAGCTAGTCTGACCTCCCACTTAGATGAATTGCTTTTGACTGACCCCAGTGCAAGCTCTATCTCTGCCGCATACATGAGCCAGCCAGCTTGTACCGCAGTGCAGCTAGCGTTGGTTGATTTGCTCTCCTCCTGGGGTATTCGCCCGAAGGCAGTGGTCGGCCATTCAAGCGGAGAGATTGCAGCAGCTTACGCGGCGGGCATTCTCAATCTCGAAGAATGTGTTCGTGTGGCATACTCTCGTGGTGTTGCAGCGAACCTGGTTGCAAATGACAAGTCTATTAAGGGAGGCATGCTGGCGGTCGGGGCTAGCGCCTCAGACATTCAGCAAATCTTGGATGCGATGCGAGGCAACCGGGCAGTTATTGCCTGTGTAAACAGCGAGTCAAGCGTCACTTTGTCTGGAGACGCGGAGGTTATCGGCCACCTGCAGACTGCTCTGGATAAAGAAGGGATCTTCACGCGAAGACTGCAAATTGAAGTTGCTTACCACTCTCCCCATATGAAGACTGTGTCAAAGGAATATCGGTCCCTTCTTGGCAAGATTTTGCCTCGGGACTCCGAGGTTCCATTCCATTCGACTGTTTATGGAAAATTGGTTCCAGGATGCGCTTTGGATGCCGCCTACTGGGTCGATAATCTGGTCTCCCGTGTGGAGTTTGTGGAGGGTCTGAAGAGCCTTGTGACCGACGAGGAGGGAAATACACCAATCAGCACATTAGTCGAAATCGGTCCTCACCCTGCCCTGCAATCACCCGTGAAAGAAATTGCCCAGAAATACGCCCCGAATTCCAATGTGCAATACCTCCACACCTTGAAACGCAAGGTAGATGACATCGAGGCTGTCCAAAACCTCGCTGGCTCACTGTTCACGCAGGGCATGAATCTCAAATTCCAAGCTATCAACTTCCCGAACTTGAAAACAACGACAAGGAAGCCAGCTGTTTTGACAAATCTGCCCAAATACCCATGGAATCACTCAGAAAGATACTGGTTCAGCTCACGCATAGGTGATAACCATTTCCATCGCCAATTCGCTCGGAGTGATATCATCGGCTCATTGTGCATAGAGAATGTCGACTTTGAGCCTCGATGGAGAAATATCATTCGTGCGGAGGATCACCCTTGGATCCGCGAGCACAGAGTCCATGGGACCAATGTGTATCCAATGACTGGATTCTTGGCTATGGCTATGGAGGCTATCTCACAACACGCACAGCTTTATCACATTACTCCTGCAAAGATCGACCTCCGCGATATCTTCATTAGCCGTGTCCTCGCCATTCCGGATAACTCATCCGTGGAGACAATGCTCAGCCTGAAACCAGCCCGAGCGGAAGCTCCCAGTAAATCGGTCCTCGGCTGGCACGAGTTCAAGGTTTTCTCATGGGCCGAGGGCCGCGGGTGGGACCAACACTGCAATGGTTTCATTATGGTCCACGAAGCCAAGGACGTCAATCCTGTGGATGGGTCCCGACAACAGCTCGAGAAAACCGCACGTTTAACTCAGCAAGCATTGAACATGCGGAATTCATGTGACGTGCCCGTTGACAGCAAGTTCCTCTATGAGAACATAACTAGCGGTGGTGTCCATTACGGTCCTCTTTTCCAAGGACTGACAGATGTATCTGTGAGCAAGGACGCGAAAGCAATGGCTACCATCCGTATCCCAGACACGAAGGCAGCAATGCCCTATAAACAGGAAACTCCCTGCATTGTGCACCCTGTTACACTTGATCTTTGCAGTCAAGTCATGTGGGTCCTTTGTGGTTACGGCGAGCCCGGGCCGCAAGTCACCCATGTGCCGTCGCATGTCAAGCAAGTCTCTGTTTCATTGTGCCAAGAACTCAATGCTGGCACTGTACTGCAACTATATGGTAGCAAGTCAGGAAATGAATCCGCAAGCAACCCTGAGACCAACCGCATATTCGCCACTCTCCCCAGCAACCCAACAAACCTGCTTATTGACATCAGTGGTATCACTCTGGTGCCGGTATCGAAGGATATCAAAGGTTCGAAGGACACTTCGCCTGGCCAGATTTGCTACAAGGTCCAATATGAGCCTTGCTTCGATTTCCTCTCTGCCGAAGATTATCGACAGCTCCCTCGCCCAGAGACTAACACGGCCCAAGGCCTTGAACGAATGCATCGACTCGAATCTGTGGCAGAGCACTACCTCGCACAGATGGTCAAGTCTGTGACAGAAGACGAGGTGTTGACCTTCGAGCCCCACCATCAGAAATTCTATCGCTGGGCCCAGAACACTTGCGAAAACGCAGGTATCCAATATCCTTTACCCCTTGACGTTCTCGAACAGAACAGAACCGTCAATGGAGCAGGCGAGTTGACATTCAAAGTGGGGGAGTTGCTTCCCCAAATTCTCAGGGGCGAGGTAGACGCCTTGACTCTGCTGCTGGACGATGACGGAATCGATAGACACTACCGTGACCTTGACGCCCTTAAAGAGGCTTATGCAAATGCCTCTGTCTGCATCGACAAGATGGCACATCAGAACCCTGAGCTCAACATCCTTGAGATTGGTGCTGGAACAGGTGGTGCCACCCTGCCTATTTTGCAGAGTCTGGGCGGAGGTGAAGCAGGATCTACGCCTCGGTTCGGCCACTACACCTACACGGACATCTCTCCCGGCTTCTTTGAAAAGGCTAAGGCAAAGTTCGAGAACTGGGGGCGCCTCATGACATATTCGACGCTCGACGTGTCCTCCGATCCCACTGGCCAAGGCTTTAGTAATGGCACTTATGACGTTGTAGTTGCTTGCAACGTGCTGCATGCTACTTCCGATATCAGCCAAACAATGTCAAACATCAGAGCGCTTTTGAAGCCTGGTGGCAAGATCCTACTAATTGAGGAAACTGTCCCCAAGGCACGCCACTTCCCATTTGTACTCCTCCCTGGATGGTGGCTGGCCAATGACAAATTCCGCAACGACGGACCACTCCTCACCGTCGAAGGGTGGAGCAATGTGATGATAGAGAATGGCTTTTCTGGCGTTGACCTGTGTGTCGAGGAGTACCCTGGAGCATCTTTTCAGTCTGGCTGTCTCATGACATCCACCGCGAAGAGCCCAGTGACCGGTCCCGCAAACGCGGGCGATGTTGTGATTCTCGGCATTGACTCCCTCGGCAGCATTTCGTCCCTTAGCCTCGAAGCTGGTCTGAGGAACATGACTGGTGTGAACCCCATCACTGCTATGGACTCTGATGAGGTTGATATCACCGGGAAATGGTGTATTTTCCTCGGGGGCATGGATCGCTCAATCCTATCGCACCTCACTCAAGAAAAGTTCCAGGCATTGCAGCGCCTTTTGAGCCGGGTTCGAGGTCTACTGTGGGTTGTTCGTCATAGTAAAGCTGACCTGGAATCCCTTGGCGCGAACATGGCGATCGGACTGGCTCGCACTGTGAGATCAGAGACTGGCCTCCAATTCGCGACGCTTGACTTGGGAGAACGGGAGACCATGCCCGATGCCGAGGCCGTGAGACACATGCTCAATGTGTTCAACGGAGTCTTCTGCGGAACATCGCAGCTAACCCAGAATGACTGGGAGTTTGTTGTCCGAAATGGCAACGTTTGTGTACCCCGCTTGATTGATAACAACGAATTGAACCTCAGTGTCCAACAAGAATCACCAGATGCGCCTCCCCAGATGCAGCCTTTCAAACAAGATCGCGCTTTGCGGCTTGCTGCTGGCGACGGGAGGGGTCTTGATGAGCTTTACTTCACAGACGATGTTTCCCGCAGCGGAACCCTGCCGGAAGATTATATTGAGATCCAGGTCCACAGCACCGGTCTGAACTTCAGAGATGTCTTGATGGCCATGGGTCAGCTTCAAGGAGACAGACTCGGACAGGAATGTAGTGGTGTCGTGACTAAAGTGGGAGCTGCGGTATCCGACTTCAAGATTGGCGATCGAGTCTGTGCGATGTCACCAGGTTCCTTGTCAACTTTCACTCGTTGTCCAGCCTCTGGATCCTGGGCAATTCCCGAAGATATGCCATTCGAGATCGCAGCTTCGATCCCAGCTGTGTTCTGTACTGCTTACTACTCTCTCATTGACCTGGGACGATTGACTAAAGATGAGAGTGTCTTGATCCATGCCGCTGCAGGAGGTGTTGGCCAAGCTGCTATTATCATTGCTCAGAGCGTTGGAGCCAATATCTTCGCAACCGTCAGCAGTCTCGAGAAGAAAAACTTCCTCGTGGAAACTTATCAGCTCAAGGAAGAACATATTTTCTTCAGTCGTGACATGTCATTTGCGCAAGGTATTCAGCACGCCACTGGTGGTCAGGGCGTGGATGTTGCTCTTAACTCGCTTAGCGGTGATGCTTTGCAGGCAACATTCGAGTGTGTTGCACCGTTTGGTCGCTTCATTGAACTCGGCAAGCGGGATATCACGACAAACTCTCGATTGGAGATGGCCCACTTCAACAAGAACATCTCCTTCGCATCTGTAGACTTGGGTATCGTCAGGGAGAAGCGTCCGCAATTGACGAAGCGACTGCTACGTGATTCGTTCAAGCTGTTTGTGGACACCAACGCCCAGTCGAGGTGGTCTGTCACCACTCTTCCCATCTCAGATGTTGAGGTTGGATTCCGGGCGCTGCAGGGTGGACAAGTGATTGGCAAAATGGTCGTCCAGGTTACTGATGACTCCATGGTTAAGGTACGTTTGCTCGGATTTACGTCAGTAACATTTAGAGCGGATGATTGCTAACTCAGCATACAGGTCCATCCCGCTAGAAGGGACGAAAATCTTCTTCGCACAGACGCTTCATATATGATCGTTGGTGGAACCAGCGGGATTGGTCTCGATATTGCCAGTTGGTTGCCAGAGAAAGGAGCCAAGAATATTATCCTGGTCTCTCGAAGTGGCGTTAAGACTGAAATCGCGGAACAAACTATTCAAGATCTTATTCGCCAGGGTATCAATGTGGAAGTCTGTCGTTGCGATGTGGCAGATAAGCAGAGCGTGGAGCAGAATCTTGTTCCGCTCCTCGCCCGCATGCCTCCCGTTCGTGGTGTTGTATACGGCGCTATGGTTCTCCGGGTACGTTTCTCAACACCAAAGTCCAAATCACATCTCAACTAACTCGTCTGTTAGGATACCCTCTTCGAAAAGCTTACTTTCGCGGACTACCAGACTGTGATGATGCCCAGAGTCCACGGAATCTGGAACCTTGAACGGGTGTTGACAACAACTAACGGTAGCATGGATTTCTTCGTCAGCCTTTCATCCGCCGCTAGCTTTGTTGGTAATATCGGTCAATCCCCTTACGCAGCTAGTGGAACCTTCATGTCAGCGCTCGCCCAGTACCCCGACACAGCCAAGATGCGCTGCTCGACAATCGATCTGCCGATTGTGCGAGGAATTGGATACCTCTCCGACGATCAGAAGCGCGAGGCAATCGCTAAACAACTCGGCACGGAGTCCGTCGACGCAACAGAAATCCGTGGTCTTGTGACTGCAGCAATCCGGAACGAGTTCGACCTCTCTTGCGATGGAAACTGTGTGGTTGGCTTTGAAGGCGTCAAATCTACACCAGTCAATGAACAGCCCTTCTGGGTAACCGATACCAAACTGTCGCATCTGTTGCGCCTCTCCACCCTCGCTGGCGCGGGTGAATTGGCCGAGTCTGCGCAGAATGGTACCGAGATTCCGCCCGCAGTTGCTGTCCGGCAATGTAAGGCCCGCGAAGGGGCTGAGGCAATTGTTGGGACTGCAGTGCTCAACAAGATCGCTACCATTCTCATGCGTCCAATGGAAGACCTTGATCCTGCTGCACCTATCACAGTTTATGGTCTCGATTCGCTGGTCGCCATTGAGATCAGAAACTGGATCACCCGCGAGTTGGAAGCTAATTTGCAGATTCTGGAGATCTTGACCAGTGAATCTATCCCGGCTCTTGCTGAGACGATTCTCAAGAAATCGGGTATCCTTAATTCAGACTTGAAGGCTGAGTGGGGTCTCAATGTGGCTGACGGCCGAACCGGCCAGGAATGAATATTTTCTTCGTCTACATTCTTTGATTGAGAATATATCTTGTCAAATGTTAATCTCTTGCTGCTTTTGGCAATGTCTTGTACTCTACAACCTTTTCTTTTACTTTGTTTATCTTATTTTGCCGGCATAAAGATTGAAATCCAAACGTTTCGTCTACAGAATTGGCTCATCGCTTATGGATTCAACAGCTAGCTTTATGTAGGGCGTAATCACATGTTCTTCCGGTAAAAGTATTCCCTTTTGGGTATCTCGGTGACTATCAGTGGAGGACAATACGTCACTAATGGTCTTAGCGATGTCAAATCTCCGGTTTCTACTTGGGGGTCATCGCACTAGTAAGGATATCGTTAGCCTTATACGAGATACACTACCCCTGTAAAGAGTCATTTGTATGGGTCGCAGTACACTTGAAATTTGCCCTTGTTGATCTGTAAGCCCTAGTGACATCTCTGTGTTCTAGTTGGCCAATTCAACTTCCTAAAGGAGGTAGAGACATTATGGCCCATATATCTGTTACAATATACTAAACTGCATGTATTAACCCCACATCCCGTGTCCGACAGCTCAAGTACCGGGGATTATTTATTCAACTTATGTTTTCTCCCGATTATCTGCATAGGTCAATTGAAAAGTAGACATGGCTCACCAGGAGGTCTTTCAAGTACAGCCCTTCGGGTGGGAGAATGACCCAGAGGAAGAGCGGTTTAAAGTGTCTACATTGGACTATTTGACAGTATGTACCTACAACAACTACGCTCTATTCTTTCGACTGGAAGACGCCGACAAGAATCGAGCTGTTGATGTCTTGAAGGCTGGCCTTCAACGTACTCTGAGCCAAGCGCGCCATCTTTGTGGGACAATTGAAAAGGACCCTACCGGCGGACATTCATTTGTCAAGAAAAAGGACAGTGCCGTCAAATTCTACGTTCAATGGCTGGATTCTCCAGATATCTGCCAGGATTACCCATCATTTGATGAGATAGAAGAGGGCAACTTCCGTACCTCGGTATTGGGTGATCTTCAGCGGTGGAGTGTACCTCCTATGACATACGGAGAGAAGCCAGAGGCACACCCAGATAATAGTCCAGTGGTGGCGTCCTATAAAGCCAACTTCATCCGTGGTGGATTGGTCTTCATTATGCACCATCTCCACTATGCGAATGATGTTATGGGATGGGCTGGGCTCGCCCACCAATTAGCCGAAAACTGTTATGCAATTTTCCATCAGACAGAGTTTCCCTCGTGGGATGCTCGTTGCCTGGATCTGTCTCGTCTGACCAAAGCTGAAGTGCGCGAGGAATTGAAAGTCGATGGCCCACCACCGCCTGAGATTCATCCGGGTCATATCCCAGCCCAAAGTCTGCTCTTCCATTTACCCAAGAACAAAGCAGCAGAGCTCAAGGTCCTTGCTTCCCCGACAGATGGTACATGGATCTCTACTTACGACGCCTTTTCTGCATTTATCTGGCGCACGGTTACACGACTAAGGGCGCCAATATTCAAACCCGATCTCTCAGCACCTCTATTCTGGGGAGAGGCTATTGATATGCGGCGCCGATTCCACAGTCCCAAGGTACCCCCACGCATTCAGCAGAACGTCGTCGCCGTAGCAATGTCGTCCACGGCACCTTGTACTGCCCCAAGCGCCGCAGAAGTTATCTCAGAGTGGCCGCTGCCAAAGCTAGCTTTCTACATCCGCCAGTTGACCAACAGTGTCACGCAGGAGGCTTTAGACCTGGCACTGGAAATGGCGGCCACGGTACGCGATAGAACAGCGCTGAACATTCGGATTGATTCACAGCCACCGATGTCGGTGCTCCAGACAGACCATCGGGATGCCAATGTTTCAAGTGCCAACTTTGGCTTTGGCTCTCCAGTTACCTACCGTCATCTGATGGATTGTGTCACCCAAGGTGTTTTTATCATTTACCCGCCGCGAGACCGGTCTCCTGAATCGAATGACGGACCCGAGTTCTCTCTTGCATATGAGAAGAGCCTCAAGCAGGCACTCCTCGAGGACCCGGAGTGGAACCGGTACTTTGAATATAAGGGTATCGATGCTGTGGATGCTCGCTACGAGGATACCGGTTCTGTGTGAATGAAAATTTGATTGAGAGTATTTTCTGTACATACGTATGCATTGAGCTTCTAATTCGTTCTCTGACAATTCTACGGTTCACAATGTCCACTCAGATCCTTAGCAACCAAAATTCTAGATTTTTATTATCCATATGACTGCGAATTCGACATGGATATCTTATATGGTGCACACTGGTACTGGTCACGTGTATAGTTGTATAGTTCTAATGTTCTTTCTTTGGAAACAACGACGCCCTCTGTTCTTTCTTTACTGAAAATAACATTGTCCCTGGGGATTGTAATCTCTTGTAGCTCCCATCCTCGTCACATCATGGCAGCCTTTTCACTATTCAAGGGCTAACTAAGTTGTCTCTAGCAGAGCAAACCCCTGCCCCAATCATCATGGATCAGGTCACCGGAAAAGACAAATTTCCGATCTTTCAGTATAGTGACTTCGACGTGTCCGCCCTGTGTCAGCTCGCCGGAAAGACGCGAAAGCTCGCGTGTACATGTGACTTGAATCAGCGTCCAATGCGAGGCGGCTTTAACTGGGCAGTTTTCGTTTCGTTTGTAGATGGCATTCAATGGGTTCTTCGGTCGCCGGCATACAATCACCCCGACCTGTCTGAAAGGAGTGTCGTCAAACTTCTCTTAAGCGAGGCTGCTACGCTCAGATATCTCAAGATTTACACAGACATACCTGTTCCTGATGTTTACTCGTATTGGTAAGTGAGGTGCAACATAATTGCCGTATCATGGAGCTGACTTTTGGAAGTGCTTATGCAAACAACCCTATCCGGATCCCATACATTTTGATGAGCAAGGCGCAGGGCGAGTCGTTGAACACAATGTGGGGGAAAGATGATCTTCATGGTCGTCTGGATTCACTCGAAATGAACAAAGTAATGTCTCAACTGGGCCAAATTACATGGGACCTTGCTCAAGTCCGGTTTCCCCTCATTGGGTCTCTATTTGAAGAAAATGGAGCCTTCGTTGTTGGAGAATGCCTGTCAAAACGCCACATCCAACATAAGAGACATTCGTTGGGAGGAATTCCTCGTGGACCCTTTGACAGCGAGAGTGAGTTCTACCTCAGTCTCATTGTAGCTTTGATTAAGCACGCCGAAATGCTGCCGTTGGGGCACCATTGCTTCGCTGCCCCGGTACCCTCTAGGAATGACTACCCTAACAAGGATCTGTGGCAGTGTGCCCGCAATCTTTGGAATCAATTCGTCACTATTGGACAAAAGGTTGACGGCGCCGCGAATAGAGTTGACTATGTTATTGCTGCTCATGTCCTCAATCATTTGATCTCTCAATATGGGCGCAACTGGTCTGGAGTCACATGTCCGGTCAGCTTTCCACTCTGCCACCCTGATCTCACTATGAGCAACATATTCGTCGACGATCAATACAAAATTACGTGCATCATTGACTGGGCTTTCGCCACAACTGTGCCCTTTCCCTTGCTTTTGTTACCACCCGGCTTTCCTCAGTCGCGGCACAGGCTAGACGAGAGAGTCTGCCTTGGTTTCGGAGATGGCTTCCAGGATGCGGCGGGACCCAATGAACACAATATAATAGCGGGCATGTCGGTCCCCAAGGCTATCCAATGTGCTAAAAATAGCCAGTTTGCTTGGTGCCTCTCACGGTTTCTAGCATTTGATTCCACAGACGACATTTCACTTTTTCGTACAATGTGGGAATCAGTGTACCCATCGGACCATAAACTTGAGTCATATTTCTTTTCACAAAGAGCTCTACCATATTATCGAAAGCTGTACGGAAAGATCAGAGAAGAGGACTTGACAGAATCTCAGATCAAAAAATCAGAGAGCGATCATTCCGCCAAATCCCTGACCTTCGAGGTGTCTTTAGCTCGTCACTTGACAATGATTTCAGACTGGGGATTCAACTATGACCCATTCAAACTTTCTGGCCTTAGAGATACAGAACAGATATTTATAACTGAGGGACGGGTTTGGCAATGGATTTTGAAATTCAAAAGACAACACCGCGACAGGATCGGCATCGAAGAGTGAGAGGTTTGAATACGAACAGTTCGAGAGAGACAGGTGCCCAGATGTGGTTCATACAGCTGACAAAGAGCAAGCACGTGTATTGTTAAGAAGAAAAGCAGCCAGAGATTATGATTATACTCAATCCATATTCGATTTTCCAGCTCCCAAAAGACTCACAGCCCAAGGTGGTACAACGTTCTTTTCCTGACAAAATTGGTTTGCCTACTGAGACGTTACTCCGAATAGATATCCTACCAGGGCATTCTATTCTTGATGTACTTCAAAGAAGTCTGTCGGGTTAGTTCGTCGAGCACAGTCAAAATGCTCATCCATGAACCAAGTATCATGCTGCTGATCATAGACAATGGGATAGGTGGTGGTACCAGGATCACAAAGCTTGTCGACTTGAGTCTTGTTGCCAGCACTGATGGTGAACCAGTAGTTGTTGGTATCATCGCTAACCTTCTCGCACTTGTAGAAGAAACCCATAACCCCGGGACCAAAAACATCGCTGCGAAAGTCGACGGCCAACTTCTTGTTGAAGTTAATATTGTCGCGGTCCTGCTTCAACCCCTCCACAGAGGCTGTCTCTGCCGATTTACTGGTGTATCCCTTCGCCGTGTGGGTGCCGCTCGCTGACCATGTCGATGCTGGTAGGGATAGCTGCTTGGCAACTTCAGCGAGTAACAGGCTGTTTGTGACAGTTGACGTGGAGCAGCCGATGCTGGTGCTTATGACGCCTAACGTTCTGAGAAGCATTGAGATCGTGACATGAATCATGTGGAGCTGATTTCAAGTGGGTTGGATCGCGATGGTTTACCATCTTGCATTCTGGGGGATATCTGATTTAAATGGTCTTTGGAGTTCCACTTTGTTTATAGTGGGAATTTGGGTCTAGTATTGTCTTTTGGCAAATGGTCGCCGAAATAGTCTTTGAAGACATCGTGAACATGATATAACGGGACAGTCTATTGCCCCATGTCCGAATTAGGGGCCCATAGCCGCGTCTATGATACCCCGTTGCATCACAACCTGGGAATTGGTCATTCGAATAAATTCGAGGTCAGCATGGACTATGTATTCAAAATTGAGACGCGTAAATACTTAATCCGTTTCCACTTCTCTGTTGCTCCAATCACTGCCGGAAAAGATGCTAAATTGGGAAGGAATACTTTCTATCACGATGCGCACTGTTTTGAGCCTATGTTTTCGAAGTAACAGACGAACCCCGAATTTACCTCCATGAAAGCATGCCCATGGATAAGTAAACTGCTGTTTATTGGGTAAAATGCAAGCAAATCTATATACAACATACAACATGCGGTCACATCTGTTAGGTACAACAGCGCCTCAACCGCCGAAAACATCCCGGCGATCGGATCCTTTGCGCGGGGGGCCAATCAGCACTCTTCGTATTATCGAACGCCCCTGGGCCATCGATGCCATGTTCGTCCTTTAAGCTTTGGGGGGGGGGGGGAAATGGTTGGTTTTGATAGGTCCAGTCCATTATCTTATCGTTATGTACGTACCTGCGTCCCAGCGGAGATCTCCGACAGTCTTGTATACCTAGGACCTTCTCAAGGCTAGGTTTTATATTAATGTAATTGATTTTAACTAAGGGACCTCCAATAAGCCTGGAGATCTCCGATGGGACTCCGTTGATAATTCATAGATATGATATCGGGCTAATATAGTGGGTTTAATATAACTCAATCGATCAATGTCTGTCTGGTGGTATGGATATGCCTCTGTCTCGCATCTTTTGCGTCCCTTGCTCGGGAAATCCCCATACTGTTGACCCACTGCTATGTCTCTCTCACCTCGAGCCGCCCCTTATGACCTCGGCCCAAGGCTTCTGAGAGACATTTGGACGCTCAGTGGCATTGCCATTGTCATAGTCGCCTTGAGGGTAGCAGCAAAAATAAAGATTCGGAAATTTGGTTGGGATGACATTCTCATGGTTTCAGCATTGGTTAGCCTGTTCACGTCATGTCTCAGGTTTATAATAATTTGAAGTATCAAAACTGACCTGTTGTCTGGAGTTTAGTGTCTTGCTTTAGTAGGATCAGCTCTGATTACCATGGGCATCAAGTATGGGTTCGGTCGCCATGTTTGGGACCTTGATACAACTACGGTCGTTCCAAACGTTATCATGTTCGACTACCTGGCACAGACGTTCGGCATTGCTGGTGGTACTTTAGGTCGCATCTCCTTCATTGTCTTCGTCATTGGGTTACTGGGCACCAAAAGATCACATAGAGTGATACTATGGATCATAGTTGGGTTACAAATCTTGACCAATTCGATATTGATCATCATTCTATTTGTTCAATGCCCGGGACATGCGTCTGCTATCTGGAATCAGAATGGGCAAGATAAATGCTGGGATGTCCGCATCCAAGCATACTACGGGTACTATCAAGGATGTACAAGCTCCCATTAATTGCCCTAATCTACACATGATTGAGACTAATCATCGACTCCGAGCAGCATTTAACTCAGCGACAGACCTTTATTTGGCAGTTTTTTCAACGTACATATTCTGGAATTTGAATTTGAAGTTAAGGGTCAAGTTGGGCTTGGTCGTACTCCTTGGATTGGGCATTTTGTGAGTGACTAGTTCTCAGGCCCTATTTCAAGAGATATCCGACTAATATCGAATTCAGTGCAATGGCAGCCTCCGTTATGAAAGCAGTACAAACCCAAGTCCTCGCACACGCAGACGATGATCCAACCGTTGCAACCGTCAACTACGATCGCTGGATATACATCGAAGCCTACTTGGTCATCATAACGGCATCGATACCTTGTCTCAGATCGTTATTACGATCTGTTCGAGGACGGACAATTGAAACCGGGCGGAGCACATACGAGTTGAGTTCGCCATACGCTGGAAACTCGATACCCACATCTAGATCCCGGAGGTTGACACCGACAATAACCGGGAAGTCAATGATACGTATCTCTGATAATTCTAGCGCGGATGATATTTTGGAATGGAATAATAATGAGATTGATGGAGTACACGAGATGACCGAGTCGAAAAAGTCGATACATGCCTGTGTATAAAATTCCCAAGATATTGGGTTCGAAATTCTACGATATAATGAATGGATATCACAAGTCAAACTGTAGTGTCAATTATGGCTTCAAAAGTGAGATGATCGAAAGCGGGCAGTAATCTCTGGGATACGTGATTGGCATCACCGCCCCCAAGCCAACCTCACCTGGGCAGCTCGCCGCCTAAACAAAACCCCAAAGCTGCGGCCGAGAAGGGAACATAAGGCATAATGTGGCCCTTTTCAACATATCCAGAGAAGACAGCGGGTGACGTAGCCGGAAAGACGTTCGACTACATCATCGTCGGTGGTGCGTGCCACTTCCCCCTGACCAAAAGCCATGAAATCGACTAATCCAAAACAATTGCCCAGGCGGTACGGCAGGATGCCTAATTGCGCACCGCCTTTCCGCTTCCCCAAACGCCTCAGTCCTAGTCTTGGACAAGGGTCGCGTAAACGCCGGGGTTCTCTCGCGGATCCCACTACTCGGCATCCTGCAGAGCGGGGTCGTCCGCTACCACGCCGAACCCAACGCGCACTTGCGCGGGCGACATGTGCAACTTCTTGCTGGCGAAATGCTAGGTGGTACTAGTCGCGCTCACTCCATGGTATGGAGTCCCGGCGGCCGGCCGGAATTTGACGGCTGGGCGCGTGAGCTTGGGTTGGACGAATGGAGCTGGGAGAAGGTAGCGCCGGCTTTTGCACGGGTTGAGAAGGCAATTCCGCGTAAAGGTGCGGGTGATATAGGACTCATGTCGTATGTAGATGCGGCGATGGAAAGAGTTGGGCTGGATGATGGAGGGGGAAAGCGAGGCACTCAGAGATATAGCCGCAGCGAGGTCTCGGTTGATGCAGATGGGAACAGGGCCTCTGCGTTGACGGCGTGGCTGAATGCCCGGGTTGTGAATGAGAGGAAAGGGCGACTGACGGTGTGTACAGGCGTGACAGCGACCAAGCTTGAGTTTACGGGTGACGGGACGAGGGTTACAGGCGTATGGATTAAGTCTGAAGAGGGTGCAGACATTTTGGTCAAGGCGCAACATGAGGTGATTCTTTGTAGCGGCGTTTTCGGTACGCCGCAGCTGTTAATGCAAAGGTTGGTAGCGCTTTCCAGATAACCTCAGTTTGTGATGCTAACAGCGAGCAGTGGCATTGGCCCCAAGGACCATTTGTCCGCTCATAAAATCCCAGTGGTGCATAATCTCCCTTCAGTGGGTGCGAATTTGACCACCCACATCCTTGTACCAGTCATGTCAGAGCTCCCACTCAAGCACACACTGCATATCATTCAGACGGTGGCTATCTTATGGCACTTTTTGCTGTGGCTCTTCTCCGGGACTGGGGTGCTTGCCTCTAACGGTCAATGGGGCGCCGCATTTCTACACTCGGATACAATCAACGAGGCAACAATGACAGCCATACCTCCTGAAGATGGCAAGAAGGAAGTGACCGATCTTGAAATCCTGATTTCCCCTCTTAGCACACTTATCGAGTACGGTGTCCCCGGAGTACCCTGCATGACGTGGTATGCGGCTCTTGTGCAGCCTCACACCACAGGCATCGTTGAGTTGTCGTCCAGCTCTGACGCAAAATCACCCCTAAAAATTACGCTCCCGTTCCTGGTCGATGCTCGCGATAGCGCGCGGCTGCGAAAGGCCGTTCGGTTCGCTATGCGGTTGGCAGATGAGTTTGCGGGATCAGAGGTCGGATATCCACATCCGGCGCCGTTGACTATGGCTCCTGGAATGGGTTTGGAGTATTTAGATGGTCTTATGGATAAGAAAAAGAGCAAGAGTGAGAAGAGAAAGCTTACAAGGGCGTTGCCACCACAGAAGGACGCTTGGAGAACCGTGACGGATACAGAAATTGATGAGTATATAAAGAGGCTGGTCACAGGTAGCTATGATCCTGCTGGCACGTGCCGGATGAGTATTACAAAGGAAGACGGTGTAGTAGATCAGAGCCTGAAGGTGTATGGAGTGCACAACTTACGAATTGCCGATGCAAGTGTGCTTCCCCGGTGTGGGGGTGCTTCGATCTCGGCGTCCATTTATATGATTGGGGAGCGATGCGCTGAATTTGTCATAAGAGAGAATGGTTCTCCTTCCTAGATATCCTGAGAAGATTATATTTGCTATAATTTGTGTGGAGTACGCTTTCCTGTCAGGGCCAAATTTATGCCGCTTGCACATGTAACAAATTATTTCTCAAATCCATGAACAGGCATGGCTGATCACCTGGTTGCCATTGCACCTAACACGGAGGGCGAAGCTAAGAAAGATACAATCCAACAAGTTGTGAGGCCCAAATTGTCACGTCGAAGATGCTCGAAGCTCTCGATATTCCTTCAAAGCAGGAAGATTATAATATGGTACATGGAAGACGGAAAATGGAAGAACCTTCGAAACTCCAGCCGCCATATCAGCGGCATCGCCATATATTTCTGCAGAATGGAACATTCCCGGGTCCACAATGAGAATATCCATCACTGCTAGTGTTTGCGCTAGCCCCCACGTATGTCCTATCGTATGAAGACACTGTACCACCCATCGGCGCTGTGGATGAGTTGGCCCCTCGACCATGCCGGCAATAAATAGGGGCCATAGCATCATGAGACCGCCCAGGTAGCTCTCTGGTGGAACTATAGGCGATTCTGGAAGCACTTCCGAGTTACAGGCACCCAGATGGAATGGGGAACTGCGGCAGATATCGGTGCCCAGACGACGGATGGTAGAACGCAGAGACTTGCTGTATAAGCGTAAATCATCGGACAAAGATGTAGGCGAGCTGCTGGATAGCTTGTGGACTTGTGATAATATAAGCTCACTAACAAGAATGCGTGCGCAACGGTAGTGGTTCCAGCAATTTGCTGCCCAGATCCCTGGGTAGATGTGGTATTCATTGTTGTAGGGTCGAATTCCGTGGCAGTTGCGTTCGAAAGAACGATCCAGCGGCATGAGTGTATGGCTACTGTATGTGAAATCTGGTGGCAGAGCAGCCAGCCAGGCGAGAAGGTCTGCTTCGATGGCACAGGCCGCACCGAGGATCTCTTGGGGATCGGTCAATGTTTGTGTGTGAATATTTGCACGTAGATTCGAGAGATGGCCGATGATTAAGATGATTTTAGTGCCAACGGCATTTTTTATCTGAGGAATCATGTCGAGCTTTGTAAATTCAAGCAGAGAGCTGGGCACAAGCACATCGCGCTGGAGACAACTTATGATCTACGAACAGATTAGCAATTTCCTTAATGAATTTAGCGATTGTCTCTCACGCACGATCTGATACCGTAAATGTATAAAAAGCCGGATTCCTACTTCGCTTTGCAATTGGGTAGCTCCCCGGTGCTGTAGTAGAGCTGCCGCTCCACAAATATGATTCGTCCACCCCTCGATGCCCTGCGGGGCCCTTGATACGACAATCTGCTAATGTGGGCATTTGCTTTCTTTTCTTGGCTGGGATGGAAGTACTCACTTCATATAAAGCTAGAAGAACAACCGCGCCGAGCGTCTGATTCGTCTTAGCTTCGTCGGCATCAGCAAGCGCCCGATTAACTAGCTTGAGTGCAGATCCATACTCCTGATGTGCAACTTGGCTCAGCGACGCGACTCGTCGAACACGCGAGAGCATGGCGCTTGCAACCGCCACGATGCTAGATTGTATAGCCTGCTGGCCTAGTGAGCCACTGGGCTCCATGAGAAACTTGGTCAGAATGTCCGTTATCAAGCCATTTCCGGGAATGGCGTGCGACTGGAGGAAGAAGCAAAGAGCCTCTTGCTTCGAAACTCTCGTATTGGGATGTGTCTTCGCAGGACTCTGAATGGCCTGGCGCATCCAAGATTCGTGCCTAAGATCGGAACTAAAATCGAAGGCTAAGTCTTCCAAGCCCGTGGATGAGTTTGTGGTAACAGAGGATGCAGAACTTTGTCCTAGGTAAGAAGAACGAGACGATCGGGGCGGCATTCGGTGTCTAAAAGAAGACGACGGGGTAGAAGCCGTAGAAGAAGACTGAGAGGAACGCGCCTTGCGCACGACGGTTTCGGTTTCATCGCGGAACATCAGCGATAGCTCATCGCGATACCCAGGACATTCTCGGTTCCTTCGAGTGCATTCCCCGCAGGACGGTCGGGTTTGGTCGCATTTGATCTTGCGCGAGCGACAGGTTCCGCAACCTTTACTAGGTTTACCATAATTTACCATAGTGTAAATGGTCTCAATGGTAACAGTAGTGATAGTAGTGATAGTAGTGATAGTAGTGATAGTAGTAACGGTAAAATAATAATGATTTCGAGGCTTGGTGAATCTTAAAGAATTTGAAGGATGTCGATCGAGCTGACCTGAGGCTCAGCCCCACGACATTGGGCTGAGATCAAGGATCTAACCCGCATAGATCAAAGATCTGCGACTTTGCATGACTTAAGTCCACGTAAACAGACAACTGGCAAAGCTTAGACATTTCCCATTAAAGCTTAGGTTCGGCCCTTGTGATCCACATTCACTTCCGACATCCTATATATAGCTGGCCATGGCCCTGAGGCTCATGGGGATGCTATGTCATATCGTATAATGTGTAGCCGAACGGTGTGAAAAGGACGGGAATAATATGCCCAGATATATGGAATACTCGACCTCTTAATATCACAAAATACTCGGGAGGTCCGGAGGGCTAAACTGCTAAATGGGAGCTAAACCCAAAAGGGATAGCGATGCGAGGACCAATCAGTTCTGGAGAACTTGCATCCAACTTCTAAGGTTGCATATATCAGCCTCTACATTTTGTTTCGAATGAAACACCGGGTTAAATGAGATGATCGTCATTTCCTACAACTGGCGGTCGATGCGTGGGAAAGTACTCAATGGTCAGATCTAATGAGTCAGAATACCTCGATATCTCGAGACGTTTACGGGTAGTTAAGAAATGCACTGGCCCCAAAACTCATAGCTAATCGATTGGCCATTTTGGGGATTCCCATTGTTATTATACCGTAATATGGATCCCTTTTGGCCCCCGATGGGCTCTGAATCTTATTTAAAGGGATGAGCCGGATACTAACTATCCTTGGTCATACCTAGGTAACCACGTTTGGAGGCTAAATCTGGGGACTCGCTAGGTGCTGTAAAGTTTTGGGGGCCAATCTAATACTCACATACAAGAAGGAAGCTTCTCAAGGCTTATTGTATCTCGCAATACGCGCTGTAAACGAATTAGCGCGGTGTCTGGAAGTGTGCATTTCGTAGGGGTGAAATTAGGAGAAATTATTAAAATAAATGAAAGTCTGAACTAGTATAAAAAGGCTGTGATCTCTTGCAATGAGATCTTACTTTTCATCTTCATTCGATATCACATTGATCATCTCCTACGCCATCTCAATCATGAAGCTGGCTTTGACAGCTCTTTTGCCAGCTTTTGCAGCCGCAGTATCGTCCCCCCCTTCTGTCACAATCGATGCTGGCACAGTCCAGGGTGGAAGATGCGAAGAGGGACAAAATGCAGTCTTTTATAAGGCAATTCCCTTCGCTGAACCTCCTGTTAACGAACTGCGCTTCGAGCCCCCCAAAGCATACAAGAAGCAATACTCTCAGGGTAAATTGGATGCAACAACTTCGGCCCCAACCTGCATTCAATTTACGGATGATTTCACTGAACAAAAATTGAACACATCTGCCCTTTCATCTGAAGACTGGTAAGTCAATTCACTGGGTCTCGGAGCTCTCCAATATCTCATTATTTGTGTCGATGGAAGATCATACTAATACACCAACTTTGCAGCCTTTACTTGGACATTTGGGCTCCACCTAGTGCTACGAAAGACTCAAAGCTTCCAGTCAAGGTTTGGGTCTACGGCGGATCGGAAACAGAGGGCTCGATCTCGGACCCCTTGTACGATGGCTGTAACACAGCCGAGGCAGGCTCGATTCTTGTCTCAGTCAACTACAGACTTGGTCCCCTTGGATTCATGGCCCTTGAAACTGCCGGAATTTACGGTAACCAAGGAATTCAAGACTTGGTTTTGGGATTAGAGTGGGTTCGTGACAACATCGCTGCCTTTGGTGGAGACCCGGTATGACAAAATCTGCATTAAGCCATAATCAAAACGGGACAAAGGAGAGCTAACGTGTGTGTTCTACTTCAGAAAAAGGTGCTTCTCTTTGGCCAATCAGCAGGTGCTGAGAATGTATACATAATCGGATCTCTTCCCCAGGCGCCTTCTCTGATCAATGGTATCATCGCGGAATCGGGTGGTGGTAGGAGTGTGTCCTCAAATTCGACTCAGCAAAAAGTGGGCGCATCATTTGCTCAAACACTCAAATGTAGCTCTAGTGATGTGAGTGCCCAGATTCTTATTTGTGATTTAGATTGTGGACACTGACATTTTTACAGAAAGCTTGTCTTCAGTCTAGGACGGTTTCTGACTTGTATGCTGCATACCCAGCCGATACTTTCTTGACTCGGGGAATTGGATACTACGGCGGCGGATCTCTCAGTATCCTTAGTCAGGGAACTCATAATTTCTACCCCTATGTGGACGGAAATGTCATCGCCGAAGACCCTTACAAGCGCGGAGTACAAGTGCCAACCGTCTTTGGATCCAGTATGTACACGATTATATGTTTGCCGTGTGAAATCCTGCTGACCTAGCAACCTTCAGATTCTAATGAAGCTATTGTTTATACTTTACAATGGGCGAGCCAATCCAACCAAATTCCGACGACATCAATGTACAAAGATTTCCTTCGCCATAACTTCGGCAATGCCGCCTCACTTGTCGGAAATGCCTACTTGCCATCTCTGTTCGAATCGGAAGCCAAGGCCATCTTCGCAGCTTCTAGTCAATTTGCTCAGATTGGCTACAACACGACCGCGCTCGAAGTACTTTTGGCTATGACACAGGTCATAACCGATTCCACCTATAGGTGTCCAGCATGGTACGGTGCAGCGCAGGCCACTCGCAAAAACATTCCCACATGGACATATGAATTTTCCCACAGCCCGACATGTGCTTGGCTGTACACAATGGATGGTACTGATGTTGGCTTTTTCAGCGGCGCTCACACAGCTGAAATTCCGTTTGTCTTTGGTAATCTGGACAATTCATATCTTCCCAATAGAACTTGCAATTCCACATCTCTTGAATGGCATCTCGGCAGCCAGATGATGGACTTATGGACTGCAATGGCAGAGAATGCTGAGCCATCAACTAAGGAGATTGAGTGGCCGCGATTCCAAACCCAAGGGAAGAACCTCTCGACTCCTGGCTTGATCTTTGAGAACTCCACTGTGTCTGGTACAATTGATTACACCGGATGCGATCTGTGGATTCAAGTTAATGCGATGCTGTCAACAAGCAATGCTACGGCCTCGGGGACACCGACCACGGTCACTAGCGGTCCGACGTCTTCGCCATCTTCCACTCAATTTAATGGCGCGACAACCCTTCTGTCTAAAACTGAGGGATACCTTGCTTTGAGTGTGCTGCTGATGGGACTGTCTGCACTTTGATGGCTCGGGAACTTGGCTATTCTAGCAATCTACCTCTGTTTGAATAATCTGCTTAGATATATATATATGTGTGTGTGTGTGTGTGTGTGTGTGTGTGTGTACAACCCAGCGCCTTTGCCTTAACTATATGCGAATATGGTGGTTTCGTGTTTCCTATTCATTTCTCCAATGATACTTCTCCAATTGCTACAACTGGACACCCTTTTAACCGATCCTTTCTATCGTGTATATAGTCGTTAATCCGTTCCCGCTCACTATCTCATCCTAATAATATTTGTGGCTTCTTTCGCCAAGAAACATTGTTAATTAATTCATGGGTTCGATTGGGTCAGTTGGGGGTTACCCGTTTGGACCGCTTCAAAGGTTAAGGCCAGTCCCCACATACATCGGCACGCTCCGACACTTTGCGGGGTTTGAGCAAGGATATTAGGAAGGGATATTAGGGCCTTGAATGAACACGGATTTCACTAATCTTAGTGCACAAGTTGAACGTCAGGTATGTATCCATTCGTATCTTATTATATTGCTCGCGAAACAGATTAACATCCCATATTAGACGACTTTCCAAATCCCTATTTCTGCACATGGCCGAAAGTGGATATTTATATAACAAAGCCAACCTCCCGGAGCAACTCCTTTTACCCCGTAACATATCCAACCCACACATGCGATACACCAATAGACCTCGACGAACGAAGCTTTGTTCAAGCATCGGCTTCGATCTTCTCGGTAACGGTGCCATCCTCCTGAACAACAATCTTGTCCACGTTCAGGGAGGCCTTGACGGGGTTGGGCTGCTGGTAAACCCACTCCAACTGTTCCAGAGTTCGGCCCTGGGATTCGACACTGTGGAAGTAGGAGTTAGCACGAAAGGGCTTTGACATGTGAGAGTGTAAATAAGAATCGGAGTAAGCGTACCAGAAGAAGTACCAGAAGACGGACTCGACAACGTCCCAGCCGACAAAGATCCAGAAGTAGTTGGTAGAGATGTTCGCGAGACCAATGGGTGTAGCAAACTGGCTGATGAAACTGATACTGCTGACCATGAAGCCTGACAGAGCCAAGCCCTTGGAACGAGTGGTTGTCTCCAGAGCCTCGGCCGGAATGACACCCTGGAGAGGAGTGTAGGTAAAAGAGAAGACCACGTTGAAAAGGTAGTAGAATGCAAGAGCGGCCTTGCCCTTAGTCTTGCCGATGAAACCGGTATTGGCGACTTCCTGGAGGATACCAGCATTGATGCCTAGGGCAACAGCGCATGCTATTTGTTGGTTAGCCGGGCTGGCCATGACGAAGATTTTGGGTGGCGGGGGGGACGAGACTTACCAAGAGTACCAAAAATAAGAACAGGGCGACGACGCATCCTGTCGGTAAAGTACACGGCGGTCAATGCACCCACAGCTGAGACAATAGAGTTGACGAGGTTAAGCAATAACTGGGTTGAGCTGGCTTCGTATCCAATAGCCTTGAAAATAGTGGCGTTGAAGTAGCCAAGACCGTTGCCAGACCACTGTCCAAAGACGGAAATCATGATAACCTGTGCGAAACGCCAGCGTCCACTCTTTGTCATGATGAATGGTCGGTCTAGCGAGTTAGGAACATTGGTTAGTTGCTATTGCGACAAATAGTGATTATATATTGGCATTGCAAAACTTACAATCCCACCATCTCTTGTCAATACCATCGATTCGAATACCTTCCTTCATTTCCTCAATCTCAAGACGGACCAATCGAGCGTTAGGGTCACCATTGCCGTGATACTTGACCAGGAATGCCTCTGCCTCTTCGTTCCGGCCGTTGGCGATGAGCCAACGAGGTGACTCAGGGATGAACCAAACAGATATAATGACAATAATACAGGCGAAGCACTGACAGATAAAGGGAATGCGCCACTGGTAGTTGTTGCCAATGAAGTTGGTACCGTATGTGATAGCGGCAGCAGGGATGGAACCACCGAACCAACCGCAGTTGTAGAAGCCTGTTCTAGCGTTAGAATTGATATAATGTATAATGTGTTCTTTTCGGAAAGATCAAGATACTCACCAACGGCTCGACCACGCCAGTGAGGCGGAGAAATTTCAACAGCATAGGCAGGAGCGGAGACGACCATGATTTGAATGCCGACACCAAGGACGAATCGACCGACAACGAATTGGGGCAGTGTCATACCACTGGCGATGATGACGGCTCCAATGATAATCACCCATCCGCCAATAAACATGCACTTGCGACGACCAAGCCTGTCGGAAATGATAGCGCTGACGGGAGTGCAGACAATAGAGCCACTGTGAACAATTCATATCAGTTGCCATAATGTGTGTAGAATAGAGAGAAAGCATACACTGTGTAAAGCGAAGTAACAACGGAGACCTTCGGGCCATCCATTCCGGTCTTGAAGACATTTTGATAATGGTCCATGGCGAGGATAGATCCCATCAGAGATCCTATACTTGGTTAGTAAATGGCATTTTCTAAGGTCTATCAAAGACTAACCATCATAACCGTTGGCACAGGCACAGCAGAATGCGACAAAGACACAGACTGTAATGGTCGCACCAAACGTTAGTGTCCGGGGAAGATATTTGCTGCATTAATCGAAAGGTTGTAACTTACAGTACAAGTGCAGGGATTCCTTGCTCCATCTTCTGATCTTGGTCTCTTCAATGGCAGCGAAAAGATCGGCCTGTATTGTTGTCGAGGTCTAGGTCAGTATTTTGCCTGTACACGTAGATTTTCAAAACTGACATTCTGGACCTCCTTGGTCTTTGCGCCGTGGCGCTTGATTGTCTCCCCATAGCCACCGATAACTCGAGCAGGGTCTTCAATGCCAGAGGAGATGCCATACACCTCCTCATCCGCCTTCTTGTCGTCCGACATAATATCGTTCCGCGAGTAATAAGATCGACGATCTCGGTAGATGATCCGGTCGGTGATAGACGGGACTGGCGCGATGAATCGTGAATTTCATGAACAGCGGGGCAGCAAGTGGTTCTTATACTGTTAGCAAGTCACCTCACTAAGTAAATTAACTAAATGACTATAATCCACTTTGGGAACGATTGGGTGGAGTCTCCGGTTCCCCAGACTCTCCACTGCCCTGTGACCCAGGACCCCTCTGTTGTCACCAGTAATAGACGCCTCCAGTTGGTGGCTTTTTCAAATAACTCCGCGTCCGGATTGGAATCGGACATTCCCCAATCATACCATTCTCCCCCCACCATAGTCACCATATTTCGATTCTCATATTGAAAGAAAATGGGGTCTGATTCCTGGATGATCGGCCCTGTATCCCGCTTAGTGAGACTGGAGAAACTTGGTCGAAGCGTCAAAGCTGTTGGGGCTAGCCCCTTTTCGAATGTATCTAGCTAGTCTCAATGCACAAGGAGAGAAGGAGGCTCGCAAACCTCAAATTCAAGGCCAAATACTTACTACAATAACTAGTTCGGGACTGATACTAGGTACATATTCACATGGCCTTCGCAATATTACTTAATTTACTCGACACGCCTCTTCATCTGAGTGGCGATGTGTCAATGTATTATTTTGGGGTTCTTTGGTCTATTTTAGCTTGACAACTTCACATGTTCTTTCCATTTACTAAAGTCGCATGGCTCAAAATTGCCTTTCTAATGATACCCTCAGTATCCCCATATTCAATCCCCTTGTCTCACGAAGGCGAAAAGTTAGAAACGTTGCACGGAGCTACTGTCAGCGCGGAGTCTGCCCCGTGCTGGATCCTTCACGGACTCCGGGGTGCTTCCCCCACAATCCACTAAACTGTTTACGGTCAACTTGACTTCTTTTATTAGCTGATGCTTTAGCTTATTCTCTTAGATTATGGTAGAAATCTGCCATTCCCTCGACCATTACGCTTCATCAAATTTCGGCCCGAATCTCCCATCAAATGTTCACCGCAAATACCATTCAATCTAAAGGGCTGACCGTGCGTTGCGTTAGGTTTGCATGAACAGCAATACAGAGATCAGATCGATCTCAACTCGCTTGACAGAGCGCCATTACGGTGGAGGTTGGACGGAAGACGAGAAACCATAATATCACAGCTCCGGGCCGAACTGAGAATTTCTGGAGGCGACACTTCCGGAACGGAGATGGCCACGGAGATGAATCATAAAAGCTCAAGAAGGGCGTAGGGTCATTTCAGCCACCCATACCTTCGTACAGAGGACGGACGCACGCCCCAGCGAGTCATTTCTCGGGGTCACCCGTGATTGCTTGGCAGTGGCGCTGACTGGGTGTTTCGCTAGGAGGCTGGGAAATTTGTGAGACCGTCTGCCAACCATTTATCGGTAAAAAAACTCCTGAATATTTAAGCGCACATCAAACGACGTTGTGGGAAGCAGTACAGGGTACAGAAGGAAATCTTAGAGGTGGATATTCTGGAGTTCTGGGGTCGGGTGTCCACTCGGACCAAAGCAAGCTAGCGAGCAACGAATCCCGACCCTCGTCGGGAATCAGCGGGCCTCGGCCCCTTTTTTTTCCTAATAGTCGGTCGACATGAGTGTATGGTCTTGGCGTACATAGTCTGTTGCTGTCTGGACGGGGCAAAAGGGTGGGCAAATTTCGAATATTAGCATACATTCATGCGGAATTGTTAATACCTTTTTCACTAGGACATATACTTCGAATACATCCTGTTTAGGCAAGAGATTAACTCTTCATACACCGACCAGATTAATTTTTAGAGGAGATTGAGTCAATATAGCATGTCTTTAGGTACAGAGTACTTTGTAGATGGATGTATTGAACCTACATCGGCGCCTAGAAGCTATCGATATTAAACTCTTCGCATCCAATCAATATTATTTAGGTATATTAGGCTGCTACAGGCTCCCGAATGTTTAACATGATTAGCTCCTAGCCGTATGCGGAATACTCCGTACGGAGTAAGTCATAAAGTCAAGCCTCGCTGGGCATTGGCACCGCGCTATGGAAGCCTATGATGACGAACCCAACGCTAGGAGTACGAACACACAGTCTACACGTCAACACGAACAAATCTCTACCTAGGTACTTTGCTTTTCACACCAACCCCGAATTAAGAACACGAAGTCCATCATTTAGAAATAAGCTGGGCTGATCACCAAAATGTGACAGATGAGCCAGTGCTCTACGACCTACGACCGGTTCCGATGGTCAGAAATATCTGCCAGGGGTGATCAACAACCTTGGAACCCTCCAATTGGCGGTGGCAAACTGGGATTAAGTCTCCCATAGAGCCATCAAAAGCAGGGGCGTTATTTCCCCCGATCTCTCTTGCAAGTTTCGCTCATATCATGGGTGAAGTTAACAAACCAGTGACATATTCTCTTAGTCGAAGGGAGAACCTACCTTTCCGGTGCTTCAGAAAAAAACTAGCCCCTCCGCTCATCAAGAATTCACGAACCCCGGCATCTCTTTTTTCTATTTTTGCGACTCTGCTAATTCTCCGAAACGATCACCTTTCTAGGGGAAATACCGTGACCATCGTGCAGAACTTTAGCAGAAATCACCCAGGAAGACTCTCCCCCATCACCCCTACTTGCAGAATATATTTCGCGCCCGGCGATATCCTCTAACGAACCACCGTTAACAATGTACCTCTCGAATTTTCCATGGCTGTGAAGTTGCCTTACAATTCTCTTTACCGGAGGGCAAGGTACGCAAAAATTACGGTAGCCATACTAGCATCCGGAAAGACTTAGGGTGCTCTAGCAGGACATGTTGCCCTTTGCTCAGGTGATTTCGGACTCTATAGCATATTTTGTCACCGGATACGAGGTCAAGCTACGACAGATGCTAGATACTATGCATCACAGTCTAGTTTTAGAACAAGACGGTTTATCGCTCATTTAGATGCAGAGCTATCTAGTCATATTTAGTCATATCCTTTCTTTGGGACGATTTTCCCCACACAAAGAGCGTTGAAAAGATAACTAGTAGATCTTTTAGAAAGATCAGCTTGACTTTAAATCTAAGTGGTTCATGATTTAGTTACTTAGTACGACAAACACTGGCATTCCCTTAAATTTGTCAGCACGTTAAGCTGGACGCCCTCAATACATTTACAATTACACAATATAAAACAAGCCTCGAACGCATCCATCCATGGATAACCACAGGATATAGAGCTTAAGAGGAAAGTCAGAAATCCAGTAAAATGAATCTTGTTTGATTAAAACGAGCTAGCATGGTTCACGGATATATTTTACGATTCTCCCCAACTTCCAAAACGGGAGCTTAGGAATATGTATCATTACATAGCAACTAAACGATACCCAGGTGTTTCCGCTAAATACCGATATTTACCGATATTTGTTACACGCGGTCTGCATGGCTCGAATTGCTGATTTCTCATCGATGCGAGCCAGTCGTCATTTTAGATCGGTCGTCATATCCAGAGTACTAGAGAGCGGTTGGTGGTTGTAGGCTGCGCTTTGAGGGGAAGTCTCGACAAGGCCAATATAAATAGGGTGGGTGATCTGCTGGCTCTTTATTCTCTTGAATCCAAGGTAACTTTGGATTCCGTATTTCGGCAATATAATCTTACTACAAAATCAGTACATTGAAACTGTCAATAATGCCTGCCCTATCAAGAACAGGCATCGTTTTAATCGACCCTTACAACGACTTCCTTCATTCAGATGGGAAACTCACCTCGGCTCTCAAAGACCTTGATGAGAAAAACACCATCAGTCACCTGAAAGAGGTAGTTGAAAATGCACGTCTCCACAGTGTTCCTATCTACTATGGTTTTCATCAGCAGTGGACACCAGACCACTACAACGGATGGAAGTATATGACTCCGAACCATGTCTTCCAGCAAGAAGTACGCTTATTTGAGGAGGGAAGTTTTGGTTCCTAGATCTATCAAGGCCTAGAGCCCAGACCCAAAGAATGGTGATGTGGTTGTGAGCCGCCACTGGTGCAGCGAGTAAGGAGCATTGCATGTTCAGATAGCATGCATGAAGACATTGATAACTTACCATCCTATATAGTTCGTTTTCGAATACCAACCTAGACTTTCAGTCGCGACAGCGTGAGATTAAGAGATTGGTTTTTGTGGGGTTGACTGCCAACACTTGTCTCAAGTCTACTACGCGCCATGCCTACGACTTGTAAGTAGCTAAGGATGAGCAAGCAGTTCTTTAGAGTATGATCGACTAATCGGCTGTTATTATAGGGGCTACCAGATGACAATGCTGTAAGAACTTCTCATTTCATTGAATCAAATCATATGGGTAACTGATACATTGTCCCAACAGGAAAGACGCTACTGCTTGGTGGTCGAAAGAGCTTACAGATGTGGCGACGGAGTTTGGCCATTGTTTGCCCAGGTCATGACAGTGAAGGATTGGGTGAATGAGTGCTCTTGATACGGATGATTTTGAGCATAGTCAGGAAACAGAGGGATGAAGGGACAATCTGACTAAGCTTAATATGCACTGCTTTGCTGGGTAAAGCACCCTGTATTCAACCACAGTATTCAAAACATGTATCACGACCTGCAGCTGACGACGGAGGTTTGATTTGTCATAATTCGGTCAAGACTTTAATTATTAATTGCTCAACCACGCGGAGACAGGTGACTCCCCGTTGGCTACCCCTAAATTTCAACCTAAACCCCTGAACTCTCTATCAATAACGCAATGCCGGCGAGGAATCCGAGAAAGGCGAAGGCGCAGCCGAAAAGCCCGACACGTGGTGTGCGAAGCAAAAGGCAACGCCGCGTGCTGTGCCCTTCGGAGACCTCTGAGATTGGCGATCAGGGCAATAATCGAGATGCCCTTCAAAATCAAACCCAAAGTATTGATTCGGATACAAATGAAGCAACCCGATCTCTTAATTGGGCTGTGATAGTAGCAAGTGTTGCTGAACAGCCATATCCTTCCCAAATACAACAATACAAAGAATGGAGAAGTGCGTACCGTTCTCTTTCGAAGAAATCTCAACGCATGCCCTTGAAAACTAAACCGCATATAGGAGCTGGTTCAAAGCGCGAGGACTACTGCTGCATCTGTCATGAGTCTGAGCATCTCGAGAATTGTCATACCTGCAAACTCGCATTCCATCGCGAGTGCTTACCCGCCGGCTGCGCACGTAATTCCTATGACCACCTTTTTTGTTTGATATGCGTCCGTCGAGGCTGGGACAAAGCACCTCCAGTGCTTACCCCACCTGCTTCTCCTCAGCCTGCCCCCGTCCAAGTTCATGATCCCCCAAGCCATGCATCCACGGGCACCAACGCGAATTCTGCGACGATTCCTCATCTACTAGATCCTGCACAAAATCTAGAACTGCAACAAGAGGGACTTCAGACCCAATCCACTTTAGGAGAATACGAGCCTAGCGCATTTGATCAAAATACAAGCGACGATGTGACATATCCGGGGCCTGCTGTTCAGACCGGTTCGGAGAGCCTCCAATCCGCTCGGCATAAACGAAAATTGCGGTATAGCACGCTGCCCCACGAGGTGGATGAATCGCCTACTATCCAGACTGCTACAGACAGCCCTCAAGGCAATCGAGGCGGGCGTAAATCGCGGTATAGCACACTGCCCAGTAATGTGGATGCATCACTTTCTGTGATATATCGGGAACTCGAATCAATCGCGATGCTCCGAGCAGAGATCCAGGAGCTGCGTACTCAAAACACTCAATACGCCCAAACCATCAAAATTCAGGAACAAACCCAAGTAGCTCTAAGGAGAGATCTGGGCATATTGCGAGAGAATGCCACCAACTCTGAAAGTACCACCAAGGAAATAAGTGAGCTTCGAGAAAGAAATGCAGCTCTAGAGGCCGAATTGCTGGTTTCAAAAGAGCAAACAGCTGCAGCAAAGGAACTAAAGGAAAGACTCGCGCATTTGCTCAACACCTAAGCCTCGAATTCCAAGTTTTCGTTTAGCCATTTCTAACACTAAATTGGCTTTTATTTTCTATGTGTATCTGGATGTTAGAGGGTTATTGTACAATAAGATGGGTCCATACATCCACCCCTGCATCCATTAATATGACTTTGGGAGATTTAGGAGCAGAAACTCAACCTATTGTCCAATGATTTCAAATACCTACATATGTATGTATGGAGGATATTAATGACTTTTCCTAGTGATTTTGGAATTTTTGTAATTGCCCATAGGGACGATGTATGATGTAACCGAAAAATAGCTTTAGGAAAGGGTTTTTTATTAGCAAGGGCGAGTTCTGCCTCCGTATAGACGGTTGTCTATGTTCCACTTATATTGTAACCCACACCATGAAATTGTTTGATGGGCATGGTAATTTGAAAACTTAGCATAGCCAGTTCATCATATGCTTGTTTCCGCAGTCCTCTGATCCTCATGGCATCTAGATGTTGACGAACTTCCCTCTGCCCTATTTGTCCTTATTGAGTTGGTCTGCCGCCTGGCAGTTTCTTCTAGCTATCGACATCAATTTAGCATTGAAATACCGAAGTCGGCAGCTACATGGCTATGAATTATTGGAAAGCTTCCTGTGGTGTCTTACATCTAGAAATTGTAAATAACATCCTTAAAAGGCATCTTTGTAGGAGACTCTCGACGTGGTATGCTATTTTATGGGCATCAAGAGAGCTTGCACTCTACTTGCAGTTGTTCCACATGCTACACTCAACTACTAACCGCCCACTAATGCAGTTTATTATGCCTTTGTTTATGAATGTTTAGTCGACATTCCTTCCCCGCCCCTCTCTTTGTGGCATGTTCCTAGTCTCCGTGAAGCTATATAAATGGATCTATGGCTAAGGCTTTATATACTCAAATATCTCTTGGAATATTTCCATATACCCACGAATGACACTGACATGGAAATCTATAGGCCGAATGCGCGGCAATTAGAGGCTGGGAGGTCCCCGTTTGAAGTTCTGCCTTAGGTATTGCCACAGATCACTAACGGTTTCGTCCTGGTATAGCCGGGACGGACTATTTCGATCCGTTTGTCGCCATCGTGAGCCACCAAGCATCCCCGACACTAAGTGCCCCCGATTTTCTAGCACCCTGCCTATCTACGATAGCCTGGCACTCGCGCCCACATCCACAGCGTATCTGGAATTTATACCCTAAGCTTGCCATGCTGATCACGACCTTGATATCTCCCATAGGTCACATGATCTGTCCCTATATAGTAGTAGCTTACTTCTCTCCTTCCCTCTAGTTTTGTACAACGGACAACACACACCGCCACAATTCATTACATTGCGCTGCTTCATGATCTCATCTACTCTGTAGACTCTAACATGCCTGCTAGTAGTAATTTTGATCATGCGATCTCCTGCCCAAAATGGTCAATTCCGGGGGATACAAAAAGACTAAGTTATAGACTCGGTGATATAGATGAAGCATGGTCATTTCTACAAAAATCAAATGCTGGCGGGTAAACCCAGCTAGGGCGAATAATAATGCTCGGGAGAGCTCCATCTCAAGATGATAGGTAGTAAGGGAACAACACACTGGGGCTTTTTTTTTTTTTTTTTTTTTTCAGGTATATTTTCTACCGGGATGTTGTAGAAGTAGTACAACATAGACTATAATAACGTTAATATTAGGCAACAAAAAGGACAGGGGTTCGGTAAACTTCAGTTCTACCTAAGTCCACAAGGTCCCTGCAGGCCGGGCACGTGATGGAGTCATTGGCTGTCGCGTGATATGTCGATCTGGGGATAGTAGCCTAACTCTAAATTTTAATCGTTTTGCTAATTTTGCTTAGTGATTTGAGCACGTAAGTTAGAGATAAGATCGTTTACAAGTTCTTCATCTTTCAAGTGTTTCTACTTAAATTGACCACCGGTCTCTGATTGGTTGTGTCTTTGAGTTCGGCGACCGCACCCGCCTAGTGACGTGACCGTGCAGATAAGATATTTGCCCAAAATATTCCGAACTTTCGACCTTCACTCTTCTCTCTTGGTATACCAGTTGGTTTAGAGGACTCATGCAGTCAATTTTCTTGCTGCTGGGCCTCTTTGCCGACGCCATCTCCGCCAGCCCCTTGGGGCAACAGCCGTTGGGCCATATTAGTCCAACGGAGCTCCCTGGGCAGCTGGTGGAGGGTTTGCGCAAACCTGTACGCGGACGATTCTTGCATATAACTGGTGAGGGGACAGTTCTCTACGTTCGTGTTTCTGTGGTGTGACCCCATGCTGACCAACAGATTTCCATCCCGACCGCCTCTACAAGCCTGGGACCACGATCGATCGCTCGTGCCACCGTGGTAACGGCCCCGCGGGGTATTTTGGTGCTGAGGGCACAGAATGCGATTCACCCCTATCACTTGTGAATGAGACATTTCGCTGGATCGAAGAAAATCTGAAGGATGAGATTGATTTTGTGATTTGGACCGGCGATTCTGTCCGACACGACAATGACGAAAAGCTCCCTCGCACGGCAAATGAGATAATGGAATTGAATGCATTCTTGTCTCAAAAATGGATTAGCATTTTCGGTGGTGAGGGAGTTCGTGAGACCTCGAATGCCGGGCCCAAGATGTCGATCCCTGTGATCCCGACATTTGGTAACAACGATATTATGCCCCACAACATCTTCAACGAGGGCCCGAACAAATGGACAAAGCGCTTTTCAGAGATATGGAACCAATTCATCCCAGAAGATCAGCGTCATACCTTCGTTGAGGGCGGTTGGTTCACCACAGAGGTGGTCCCCGGTCGGCTCGCGGTCATCAGCCTAAACACCATGTACTTCTTCGATTCCAACAGTGCAGTTGATGGATGCAACGCCAAGTCGGAGCCTGGATACGAGCACATGGAGTGGCTGCGGGTGCAGCTGAAAATCCTGCGTAGTCGCAACATGAAAGCCATCCTCATGGGTCATGTTCCCCCAGCCCGGTCGAGCGAGAAAAAGAACTGGGATGAGACATGCTGGCAAAAATATACGCTCTGGATGCACCAGTACCGTGATGTTGTTGTCGGTAGCTTTTACGGCCATATGAACATCGATCACTTCATGCTTCAGGATAGCAACAAAGTCAAGATTGATTCCAAGGCTGATGGGAAGGTGTCAATCAACTCAAAAACCGACTACCTCCAGTCGCTCCGAAACGAATGGTCCTCATTGCCATCTCCTCCGTCGGGCCTTTTCGACGACCTTGGCTCTATGTCGAATTTGGAAGGTCTCTCAGAAGTTGAACCGGCAAAGAAAGACAAGAGGGGTAAAAAGAAGGAAAAGAAGAAGCAAAAGTTCTTGGACAAGATTGGAGGCCCATGGGCAGAACGATACAGCGTATCGCTCGTAGCTCCCAGTTTGGTCCCGAACTTCTTCCCCAGCCTGCGCGTGGTCGACTACAATGTCACGGGACTGGATGACGGTGCACACGGGGTGGAATTGTTCACACATGAGGTTGACGATACCACTTTCGGACTCGACCATGCTGTGGTTGATACACCGGAAACCAGCGACAATTCTCTGGTTGCCCCCGAAATTCAGAAGAAGAAGGGCAAGGACAAGAAAAAGAAACCCAAGTTCAAAGTCCCCGAGCCCCCATCCTCAACCGCTCCTCCGGGCCCTGCATACTCGAACCAAGCGTTCACCTTGCTTGGCTACACTCAATATTACTCGAATCTAACAAAAATCCACGAACAAATCGCGGCAGGCGAACGAGGCGATGATCCTCGTATCGACTATGAGATCGAGTACACCACAAATGATGACGTGTATCAAATGAAAGACCTGACAGTGCGCAGCTTCTTCCAACTCGCAGCTAGAATTGGCGAGGAGGATGCTGAAGAAAAACAGACCGACGTCAATAGCGAAGGCGCTGGTTGGTCTGTTGCTAAGAAAAAGCCAGTGAATAATGTCTGGGAGGCTTTTTTGAGGCGCGCATTTGTTGGATTCCCAGTTGATGACCTGGATGAATAGGGTAGTTTTACTTTAGCGTCTTTCTTTTCTCTTCGGATACTTTTGCATTCACGATACATAGGTTGCATCCCAGGCTTATACAGTGGAGACTTGTGCTATCACAAGGTGTTATTCTAGACTATGGCCATTGTTCAATGTTGGAAATGGAACACAGGATTGAAGTAAAAGTACAACCAGATCAAATAAAAAAAAAACCAAATTATCACGTTCTACAATTGTCTGCAAGTTTTTACAATTCTACAATAGACTTGTCTAATTGGGCGATCAGCAAGGGCATCTGGCGGTGTAACAGGTTGGATACTGTATCTTTGGGAACACAACGTCAACAGAACTTCAGTACATCAATGTATTGTTTGATATTTCCTTAGGTACATACAACATAGGTGTTGTACAATGATCGCTGTAAACTTGTTACTTCCATCACATCACATAGGTGGATTTCCATCGCGACCACAATACCTCCAATGCCCACAATCACAGCCACTGCCAGCGTGGCAGTCCGTGCTAGCAGGGGTTAGATTAATGCCCAGGTACATTCAGAGTAGTCTAGCCCGAGGACTTGGGCACTTAGCTGGAGAGGATGATCCTGGAATTAGTAAATTCCCAGCCAATCTGCGATGCTGCCCTGGTAGGTTTTTTCTTTTTTTTTTTGCCTTGAGCCGCTGCCACGTAGCAAGCCCGTCATCGCCATTTAGTTAACAGGCCTCGAGTAGACATCGCACGGAAACCCCAAACTAGTGCAGGACAACACAGCATTCGATAGATTGTTGTAGAGATGGCTTGCCACTGGGGATCCCAATTGCATAAGCCCTAGTAGACCTTATACAAATAGACCTCCACTTCTAGCACATCTGTAAACAATTTTGTACAATTCCATTTCTACAATTCTGTTGATTATTGTGGGACTACAAGACAGACTAGTAAATAATTACTATACAGTACTCCATCCTTACGCATATCTTCCAACCCAATCTCTTCGTCATATCAGGGGAAATCTCCACACAAGCATGACCTTGCATTTCTACGTCGAAAATCTTTCAATTTTCTGATTCTCTTATCCGTGGACTTTGACTCCTTACAAGCAGCTCTAACACTTACAATAACAATTCTAACCCCCCAGTGGGCCTAGCTCGAGCCCCCGAGCTAGTAGCTTCATACCCGAGACACAGTCCCCCAATTCCCAATTCCTTCCCCGCACAGACTTCGCTGGCACCCAAAACCGTCGCATTTCGCCTCTGACCCCCCTACTTTGCCGGCCACACGATGCGTCAAGTTTACTTGCAATCCAGCCACGAGCTCCGTCACTCCATCATCTGCTCCTTGCATTGTTAGCCGAATTCCCAGCCACGATACAGCGTGAATACGACATTCGGAACTCAGCCGTCACTAGACCGAAACGGGAAATCTTGAGATTGATCGGACAGCGTTGTTCCGCACTGTGTCTACAACATACAATTGGAACGTTATATACTTGGTTGTCGCAATTGGATTTGCTACCCCCGGAACGAAAGCCCATTGGCTGCGATATCCTCCGCGGTCTGAACAGTCGCCCCCTCGGGTCCCGCCGAACCTTGCAGCTTGCCGAACTGGCTGCTCTCAGTTTCGGATATTCCGTGTATTTCGCCTTTTAGATTTGGCACGTCGCTGGAATAGTCTGAGCTTTTGGTGCGCCAAGATCCTGATTTCGGAGGTCAATTGGTCCGTGGCTTGGGAATACGCCCGTGGTTGGAGCATGATTCAGTCGCTGCGTTTGGTTCTCATTTGAAATTCTGTTTGCGCGCTTTTCAGTAAGTCCAAGCTGTCTTCGCCCATTCCATTCTTTTTTTCAAGTATCCCTAGCTTCACGATTGGGTTTTCTTTCGGTCAATTGGTCTTCTCCGAACCTCCACTCCGCCTATTGCTTGAGACCAATTCTTGAGACCAGTGACCAATATGGCTGACTCTATCTGCCCAGACTCCCCAATTTCTGGGTCGTGGGTTTTATGGATGGCCTCCTCCGAAGTGGACCAGAAAGCCCTGGGCAATTTCGCCGCCGTCATGAGCCTCGAAAATCCCCTGCTCTCGGCAATGCTATACAAAATCCTCGGCGTCTCCGTTATGCTATCAAAAAAGCTACTTAGAGCCCGCAAGCTGCGGCGCCTTGACACAACACGTGAAACAAGATCCCTCCAGCTGTACCATCACATCATATGGCTCTCCCGCGAAGGCCTACTCATACTGGAGGGCTACATCCTTCCCAGGGTAGACAGGTTTGTTGAGCTAAAAGTGCTCGCCTACAAACTCCGCGCTTCCTTCTACCATATTTTCGTCCTATTCCACAGTCGCCCAATCTTCACCCCCGACAGCGACATACCAACCCGCTTCGAACATGACTCCATATACGGCGCAGATGCCCTAACCGCCCTCGGCGTCTCAGACACCTACAAGTCTAAAATGAATACGACTTCAACGCCAACATCCCGCCCTCCGGGCCTACCAGTAATGCAACCAGTCCAGCCACCTGAACCAATCTCCTCCTTCCTACTCCCCCCACTAGACTACACAGCCACAGCAACGGCGTGCTTCAACCGCGCATCAGCCCTTTCCGACAAACTTCTACCAGGCTCACACCCTCTCCGTCTCTCCGTCAAACTCGAATACGCAGCATATCTATACGACTGCCTTCAAGACCCCGTCGCCTGCCGCCGCCTCGCAAAACAGGCCATCGCAGATGTCTACAATGCCCAAGAGGGCATGGACGATGAGAGCTTCGAAGACGCCGCAGAGATCGTGAGCGTGTTGGGCAAGATGGTCAAACGCGGCGGGAAGCCCAATTCCAGTACTGGCACTCCCGGGAGCAGTATCTCCCGCGGTGGTGGCTCACACAGTCGCAGTAGTCGCTCGCCTAGTCATCTCGATATTAGTGTGCCGACTACCGTCTCGCCAGTCCCGGTTACGAAATCTACGCCTGTTGACGGAGCTCGTGTGGGAATGAGCCAGCCGGCTATTCATGATGCTTCTATGACTAATCCGATTTGATGGAAATGGAAATGCGCATGATTAATAAAAAACTGGTGCTTCAATACTTGTCATTGTTTTCTGGCATGTATTGCTTCTATATATGATGATTTATTGCTTTTCTTTTGGTTTCTGCTTTCACTAAGCATGTGTGTACATATACATTATGCACCTCTTTTGATTTTGTAGATATACGCTACACTTTGATGACCGTCATTGACTATTCACGAAGGAATGACATGTTTTGCGCTCTATGAATTCAATGACGCTGCGTTGTACAGATTGTTGTAGAGGTGGTCATACTTATCACCACGCCACGTACATGTGAAATTTTAAAAGAGAAGCAAACATCATATACTGCAGTTTTTTCTTTGTCCTTTTTTTTTTACCTATGCCAATAGTTCAGTGCTATAAAAGGCGGCGTGGGAATCTCTTGATTCCATTTTTGTTCTGTCATGCCTGCTTGACATCCATCTATCCCTCAGTCTGAGGTCACTAGGAATGATGACCTTTATATCAAATATCCAATCTATCTATATACCATGATCCCGACATTCTCAAGCTTCCATCCACTGGATACCACAACCCTGGTGTAGCTGATGCCCAAAAGCTTGTGTTTCTCAATATCTCCAGCACCACAGCATAAGCCTGCACATCTCACTTTTATTCTGAGTGCGGTATGGCTTCCAGGGGTGGGAACTACAAACTTTGGAAAAAACTAACAACAACAGCTGATGTCTAGCCAAGACTCACCGTAACGCAATAAGAGCAGATCTTCAGCTAGCCCTGAGACAAATTTTACGCAGATGGGCCGCTGTAAAGCCAACGTTTATGACTATCTCTACTTGGCTCGCCGGTTCCACTCGTCGCTCCACGAGGGGCGCAATCCGACGCGATGATTTCCTCCACAGTCCAGTACTAAAGGCGAGGAAAGATAGAACATATGCTCTTGCTTTTGCTCTTGCTCTTGCTCTTGCTCTTGCTCTTGCTCTTGCTCTTGCTCTTGACTATGGGATGTCTGACTTGAGAGTCTTAGATGCTCAGAAAGAAGACTTTGACGCCTCTACCAGAGAGCAACTCTGAGACGCTTTGTGGGACCTGGCAATTGCATATGTGATGGGGTCTGTCAAAGTTGCTTTAGCGACCGTGACAGATTTGGTGTAGTGAGTATTTTCTTGGGTCTTTCGTATCATTTCTGTTGTGGGTTGTGCTTATTTCGAGTGCCCTTATAGCAGTATGAAGTTATACGCGTGCACCGGTTCGAACTTTATATATTTTTAGCGTGAGTGGTCCGATTTCAGGGTTAGACAGGAATCCAGACTTGGAGACACTGATAATAATAACCTCGTTTACAGCATTAAGGATATCTGGCTGCTGTGATGTTGTTGTGGTTTTCTACGCTGCTTTGGCTTCCTCGGTCAACTCTTATGCGAAGGCCTATACCCTAGTAGGCAAGAAGTGCGGAAGTCTTGCGGGTCTTTTTTGCTTTTGTTTCCTTTCGTTTACGGGATTTCTCATATTTCGAGGGATCCACCTAACTAGTCCGATGTGACAACGACGCCTCTCATTGTCATATTTTCTGAGGTCGCACACCAGACTTACCCTTGAGATACCCTGAGATCGTGGGCCTGGGTTTAGACATCGGATATTAAAGAAATGCCACCACACAGTGACTCGATCTGAGATCCGAAAGCAACCGAGCGACATCTTATGCAAGTTTCATCCACGCTTGCTCCTTGTATTAGTGGTACAGCGCACCCAAAACCCGTTCTGGTTGTGCAGCCTTCAATTCAACTCTTTCGTCTGGTTGCCATTCCTACTTTAGGGTTGGCATGGTACCTTTTCCTTCTTTTTTCCAGGTAGAGAATCCGGAAATGGGCTAAGCTTCAACATCCCCCCGGATACTCGGCTAAGGGCCTCAATTTGGTGCTCCTTCTTTTCGCTGTGTGGAATGAAATGGAAGACAAGGACTTCGAAATGGTCCTTTGTAAGCAGTTCATCGTCGCTATAAACGCAGTTCTCAATGCAAGGAATTTGTCGGCACCCTTGATACTAGTTATAACTTATCATGTTGTATGGGCGAGGGTTGGGATAAGTTGGTGTAGTTCAGGCTAAATATAAACGTGGAAATGTCTATACGAACGTGGATATAGATGAAGGAACTGATGTGCTGGGGTTACTCCAGTTTTGCGACCCCAGTGGGTAATGGTGTATATCCCAGAATCTGAATGAATCATTACTAATTTGTTTATCCTTTCAGCATGTCACCAAGCTGGCTATAGTGCATGGGTAAACCATTGTTATAATATTATTCTCTGTCATCCATTCTCCATTCCAAGGTTGTGCACCACGTATTCTTTGGTCCGCTGTCTTACCCAATTTTAGACAGTACACCAAAGAAGGAATGTTCGGCGATGTACGAGAGGCAACAGCCCTAAATAGGAACATAAGGGGAAGACATAGCGTACTCCATTGGCCAGGCATAGATGATTGAATGAGTGTCAAATGATATCAGTAGGGTTGTGCACGTGGTGGATCATGATGCTGATCTGTTGCTATTATTGTCCGTCGGTGGTTGCCTCGAGCGATGAGCTTGGCTCACATCACATCGTGCATGGGAAGTGTAAACTCGAAGCTAATATTGCATGAATAAATATGATGATGAAGCCGCCTGGGATAAATCAGGGAAACTCGAGACAAAATCCTGGTTTTCCTATTTTAGGGTGGTCGACACGATGTGGCTAGGGATATTGACGGCCAATATTCGAGTCGGGGAAAACTCCGAACTGTTAAAATGCGAACAACGTGGGAGAACGTTGTTGAATCTACCAAGGGACTTGGTGATTTTCTACACTTGGATCAAACGGTATATCAGGTGAAGAGTAAAGCTCCTGCAAAGAATACACAGTGATTATTTTTGGCTATACGTAAAAAGGTTCTCTGTACGCTTTATTCATTTTGCCTCCGTGTACGTTTAAAAAGACATTTGAGAGCTATCTCACATAACATATATATCGTCTGGACCCAGGCAAATCCGGATATCAGGACCATTATGTGTGCAGATTGCCCTTCCAACTATCTAATCCTCGGCTAACAGAAGCATATAAAAATATGGTAAAGACCTCGTACGACGAGGCCGAAGAACAATTCATCAAAACCGATGCAATTAACTTCCACCCATTGGCTCTGAAGCCATATAAGGACCCGGATGAAGCAGCGACGATGTGAACATCGCCATGATGAAACTAAGCTGAGAACACTTCGGGCAGGTGGTGACCGCCATTACGCTTTCACATTATGCTCTAAAGTAAGATAGACACCCTGTGGGGTAAATCCAGAATGATTACTCTATATATCCTAAACCATGTGGGACGCTGGTCACTTAGTGACACGGTGAAGTAACCTTAGAAGGCTCCTCGTTTGTTATTGTAAGATAACAGCTGCGCTACTCACTCAAGATATCCATAGAGTTGTGACGGGAGTGGAGTATTAACCGGTTGCCTCGGGCGATGGACTGGGCTCATATCATAGCATGTATGAGGGGTATTGCAAAAAATAATAAATAGCCTGATCGACTAGGGCTGAAATAAGCCTGAAATGACCAGGGAAGTGAAGTTGGAAAATCCGGTTTTCCTGTTTTGAAGTGATCGACCCGTTGCCAGGGACAGTGGTGCCTTAGGCCAACATTTTTGGAAGGGAAAACTTCCTGTCAAAAGGGGGCCAACGTGGGAAACATTCTTCAACGGTTGAGTATAGAGGGGATTCTGTACACTTCAGATCAAACGACAATATTTCGAATAAGTCCAAGTTATTGTACAACGGTCATCGACGTCATACTCTCAGTCTGTGCGAGACTCGAAAAAAAAAGAGCGGCTAAGAAATCGCATCCACCTACCCCGAGGGCTCCTTATCGCATTTCATTCGACTATTAACCCGTCGAATCCACTTGAATCCACCGCATCTCTAATTTCCTCTCTTTTCTCTTCACCTCAGCGCCTACACATCTTCTCGGTGACATTTCAAATATATCAGCCCCTCCTACGCGTTGGCGCGTTACTCTGCAGAAACGCTGCATCCCACGGAAGTTGCATTGAAACGCGAAACCCCCGAGCTTATTCCCTCCATGGCCTTGAAATTGACATTTTTACTTAATACTCCCCAATTCCCGTGAAGCCTGCACCTTAACACACCTTTTGGAAGCTCCCGGACGGAGTCAGGGAGCAGGGACAATGTGGTCCGGCTTGGATAAACCTGGCGCTCTCCCACTCCTGATCCTGATTGTGTTCTCGCTGCTCACGTTGGTGCCATCACTACCGAATCTGTATCACTCCAAGTTTGCAGACTTCAGCTTCTACACCGGTGCAGCTCGTCGTATGTCCCCATTCCTACCAAGCTCAAGTTCATTCGAGTTAACTAACCAATTGACTTTCCAGAGATCCCTCTCCTTCAAGATAGTGTCACTGAATTAGCACCGAAAGCACACACCCTCAACGAGCCTCACAAATCATGGATTCTTACAGCGTCACATCGATCGCGAGGAAATCGCCCACCGTTTACCGCACGCATTGGCAGTGCCGCTGTGGTCCCAGCCGGCGAAACGAGCATCGCAAATAAAAGTCGACTTTCATCGTTCACGCGCGAATCCTCATTTTCATTCAGTCGCAAAGCCCGCGCATTCAGAACCTACTTCATTCAGCAATTAGACGACTACCCGTTCCTCACGTCATTCTCCAACCGCAGCCTAGTTGCACACTCGATGCATCCATATCCTACCATCTCCATGAACGAATCTCTCCCAACATCCGAAAACAATTCCCCACCAAGCATGCCGTCATATAATAATTCCTCCGACACCATCCAGGAGCCACTACTGCCCTTTCCTGCCTACCTCCGCGATATGTGTCAGCAGGCCTGCCATATCACCATTGATTTTGGAAAACGCGTCAGACTCCACGGAGCAAATTATGCGAAATCGATCTCCCTCCCGGAGTGGATCACAGGGGCTCCCACATCATTAATACCCAACCCCACAATTCCCAACGCCGCCTCAGATCAAGATTCATTCACCCCATCCGAGCAAGCACCGCACCAACAAACAGTTGGCGCTGAGGATTCCACCGATGCTGCCGCCGGTCGGCACTCGCAGGAACTCCATGGAAGCTGCATGGCTGTTGTTATCGGTCTTGTTGCAGGCATCATGTGGTTCTAGAGCAGACTGTCATGGGTTCTGCTGCTTCCATGTTTGTCCGCTGATATGTGTGATGACCTTGCTTGTCTTATTTGGTTTGGCGCAATGTATTAGATACGTGTAGACAATTGGGCCGGTAGCTCTGGTTTAGCCTCCTGTTGGAATCTAATAATCACATTTACCATATTTCGTCACCTAAAAGAATTCTTAACGGGCTCAGATTCTATTTTACCTAATAGAATCTGAGCCCCCTTTTTTACCAACCATTCCACTGGAAAAGCCCAGTAATGACGCCTATATCCGTCTGAAACGAGGGAGCCGTCAGTAACTGCCCACGAAAGGCAATGACCGGAGAACTTCGACTACAGCACTTTCACCCTTCCACTCGGCCAAATATGCGGTTGCTCCCCTTGAGGGTTCTCCAGATGGGGTGGTATTCTATGTTTGACCGAGAACATGACTGAAAGAGTGATCCATTTGCAGTTGCACAATGAAGATGGGAATCCCACCTGTGCGACCAAGGCGGCTTTGTGCGTACGCCTTGGCCGCGTATATCCTCTCAATTGGGACATCCTTTGGTTCGATTATTTTCAAGAAGGGGCCTATCGTCTACATGGGGATTACTATGATATATGATGAAGTACAATTGAGTGGTCTATCATCCTTTATGGACGTGATCTCCCCCGCCCAAGGCATGGCTTGTAGGAACTAACGGAGTTTTCATCTTAACTCCTTGATAGGTTTAAGAAAGTATATTCCTACTATATTCCATCATTTTCTACTTACTCATCAAAAATTATTGAAGAAACAACCTGATGGACTTGATACTTGATGACATTAGGCTAACCCGATATGGTAAGGCATGGGCTCTAGTGGGGTCCTTGGACGCTGGTTGGTCCTTCCGAACTATACCAGCAATACATTTGAAAGGCACTTATTCCCATTATTACCGAGAGGAATATAAAGCGGACCATTGCATCTCATTGAAATGGACGATAGATAAATCAAATCTCCTTTGCTTTCTCCATTACTCTAAATCTTTATCCTCGAACACCTTCACCCAATAAATCCAACAATCAAGTACTCCGCTCTGAGATCGTTCAAGAGAAGTATGGCAAGGCCCTTGCTGGAAAGACAGGTAAGTCTAAATTCCTATCATCTATAAAAGTTTATGGTGCTGATGAAGCGTCTTCCTTTCGTAGTGCTCATCACTGGCGTTTCGACGACTCCACTGCAGGCGAACTTGCACTTCAACTTTCCGCTGCCGATCCCAAGCTATTCATCCTGAGCGCCCATGCCGAAAGTCAAGGATGGCAAGAGTTAGAGAAAGGATTAAGTCAACCAAGCCAAATGTGGAAACTCGCTTTCCCAACTTGAACCTGAGTGACTTGAACGCCGTGCGAAATGCTGCCGGGGACCTGAAAGATGTGTCTCACATCGACCCCTTTGTCTGCGTCGCCGGTGTAAATGTTCCCGCCTTTCAGCAAGACAAAATATGGGCTTAAGAGCCAAATGGGAGTCAACTACCTGTCGAACTTCTTACTTGTGAAGTTGCTTCTGCCGAAGATCTGTGCTGCAGGACCCGATTTGTCTGTGGTTATCATAGCTTCGGCCATAGTCAAACAAGGGAAGATGCACTTCGATGACTTTAATTTCAATGTGAGTTTGATTCACGGACTATATTTAGCAGCGCTGACATTCTGCTTCCTTGTAGGATGACCAAGCATACGACCCTATGGTCGCATATGGCTAGTCGAACGCTGCGAGGGTTATGTTTGCCAAGAGACTGGGTCAGAAGTTGAAGAGCGAGAAAATTCATGTTTTCAGTATTGATCTTGGTGGTACGCCTTGGTTCTTCCTCCGATTCGATGGATGTACCTGGCAAACATTAGCTGTTCAAACTTGTCTGCAACGACATTGCCCTCCCGAATTTTCGGACCAGGTCGCCGAATGGAAAAATGCCGGAGGTATGTGTAGCCCTCTTGATTGTCTCATTTATTCTTAGCCGGCCTCTTTAGCCATGGTTGACATGGATGGAGAGCCAATCGAAATTCCCCCGTGGACTACTACCTCAGAAGGAGCCGCTACCGTCATCATGGGAATGATTGACCTTACCATCGCAGGTAAGTAGAATACCTTGCCCAGCCTGAATCTCGAGTTTCTTTTACCAATCATGCCCGTATCCAGAGCACAGCGGCTCACACCTCAGCCAGGTTGCAGTCTCGAATTGCACACCCATATCAACGACGAAGGCAAGTGGGCCAAACTTTGGGAACTCAGCGAGACCCTGACCTAAGAGAAATTTTCTCTATAAGGAATTTGAAGTTGAGAAGAGTTTGGTGTGTTTATTATATATAGGTTAAAATGTCACTCAATCTCAAACACGATTGGCTTCTCCCCTCGCTGCCTCCTCCAGTAATTAGAAGATTTGACTACGTCAGGACAATCTGTTGCTATCCATCTCCATTTCTTGAGTATCATCTCTGAGATCTCATAAGCAAATGGATCCCAAGCTTCGCCCCAAACGCGCATCCCAATCCCGATTTCTTGCGACGAACCACAAGCTCCATAAACGTCGCCGCATAGTTCATCTTCGTCAATTACATCTGCCCTGATCAAAAGAGCTTCCCGCAGAGACAAAATTGGAATTAAATCAATCCAGGGGTGGTGGATTATCTTCCTTTGGTTCTGGGATGGAAACAGGCTTGCTGGGAGATGTACCGCCGACATCAATGGTCCGGCGAGATTGAACTGCGACGCAAGGTCTTCATTGAGAAGATCAAATGTGAGGCCCAGCAGATTGGCGTTGATTGACATAGCGCGAAATAGATTGAACTGGGCGTCAGAATAAGTGGGATTGCGTGAGAGAACCGGGTTCCCGATCATATGCAAAGCTTTTTCGAAAAGTGTGTCCATAAACTCAACGCGCTGAGAAGGGTTGAAGAAAGATAGATATTCTTCATTTTGGTTGAGAGACAACGGTGACTGAGTAACTTTATGGCTTGTTGCTTCTTCTTCTGTAGATGTGTTTCTTTTTGGGATGCTTGAACCATCGACATAGACAATCCATTTCCTATCTGGCGTTTTGTGTTGACCTTTAGACTCTAACACCTTTCTTTTTCCTGTATATAATGTTAGTCTGAACATTTGATAGCTGAAAGGCCGGATGTGGCGAATAAGAGTGCCACCTACTGCTCGCACGTTGGTTGAGGCGATTTTGGAGTCGTCTTCGAGATGCGGGATCCAACACGTCCCTCGAATTATTTGAGGTAGTTTGGTCGGGAGCTGGCCGGTGATCAACTTGGGCAGTCATATTAAAAAGCTGTAGCTGAACTGTAGTTGAGGGGACGACGTGGTGAGACGTGAGACGTGTGAAATTTGGACGGGAGGTGGTCGAATGCCAAGTTCGGAGTTAGCGTTAGCCCCGAATAAGCGCGACAGCGTAACTGGAGGACATACTGCAACATATCAAACATTTTAGAGCCGGTCCACCCATCTTAACTTTTCGATCGAGTGAGAAATCACACATATGGATACAATTTTAATTATCTTACTAACTCCCTGGGCAACTCGGAAACCCGTCCGATAATCTCTTCACCCCTTCATATTCATGACGTAGCTCAGTGGCTAAACACCTAGAAGAATAATAGTCTCCAACTTCTTCGAAATATCGGACGTCTATTGAAATAATTCTCTCGCACATACGGAATTTCCAGTCTTCGTCTCATTTATTGCGGGATAGAATATGACACTTGCCTCCAAATTCCGCCATATACTTACCTGTGGCCGTAAGAAAGATTCAGGTCCCCCACCAATAAGCGAGCCACGCACAAATACTGGAGATGGCAATACGGAGGATGATTATTATGGCACTTTGAGTGAGGTTGCTGCTCCGGGTCCGGTTGAGCCCACAACTGAAGAGGAAGAAGCACGGCACGAATCCCTAGATAAGAACATCTCTAGAGCACATTCGCAGCCTCAACTCGGCAACAATTGAATGGTTTGAACACAGGTAACTGGTCCCAGTACCCTTCGTATTTCTTGTTTATAGGATCAGTCAAGTTACTAACATCCCGAAGAACAACTTCACGAAGTGCAGCAGCGGGCGACCTTTGGGGAAATGAATAACAGCCTTCCCGGACACCAAAAGCTCCAAAGACACCCTGGTTGATCTTAAATCCTGCATACATGCAGAACACTACCCCTCTTTGATTAGGCATTCCGAAGTAATTTGAATTGAGGCTCTGTATAGGGTTGTTCATGGGCGGGCCCCACTAGTTTAATTATGAGCTTAACTATACTCTTGATTACCACTCTTCGCATCGTAGAGGGACTTGCATTTATATCCAGAATAATAAATCAAATCCATACCAGGGATTATCAAATACTGTCTGACAACCTTTGGACCGTGGTCCCGTAGCCGGTAATGTATACATATGGCGTCGAGACGGGCCGTGGAGCCTACCTGATTGGGCGATGTTCTCAAGCATCTCATAATAGTCGAGGGAATTTTCTTGGTGAATCGGCTGGTTTGAGATCCTTATTTAATATTGGAATTTGGTACCAAACATCGTATCATTCAATTGATTATGTTGACTGAATACTTCTATTTTGTCCAGACAGAGGCATCATATCCATCCATCAAGGATGTATAATCCGGACCGGCCGCAGCCCATCCTTTAATGCCCCCCGAGAGAACCAAGCTCTTGACCTCTGTGTCCTGTTTATCTTCGAGGTAATCCGCAAACCATCCCGATGCACGAGTACCTCGGCCGGCAGATGACCCTGAATGCAGATCAGCATTCGCATTTAAAAGGTTGGTATCATTTTTATTATCTCACCACAATACCAAATCACATATTTCACGCTGCTGTTCGATACAAGAGAATATAATGTTGGGATCGTGGGATATAAACTCTGAGCTGGCAAGTTCAATGACCCTTGGATCGTTCCTCCCTTTTGGCACATCAGCGCATGAAAATGTCACTTTTTGTTCCAAACTACCCGTACCTCATAGTCTGTGCGACGCAAGTCAACAAGTAAAAAGTCTTTGCCTGCTTGCTTACCCTCTCGAATCCATTGCAATAGCTCTTCTCGTGATATGGAGAGTGCTGCACCCCTTGGTGCAGGATATGCAGCATGCCATGGAAGCTCGGCTGACATGGTGGTTAAGACAAATACTGAAATTAAGAATCGCGAGATTCAACACGTCTCAGACTGTTCTACAAGTAGAACACCCCGAATACCCCGCCTAGGAAGGAATGTCACTCTCGCATTCTGATTGGTTGAGACTTTTCAGGTGACAAACAGGAGGTGGACCCTTGGAATTCCATAGTCTGATTCTTCGGCCAATCAGCGCCCGCCAGTGACATATCCTCACCGTTTAGTTTCCAGAGATCTGTGGACGAATATAAAATATGCAATATGCTCTGCTGTCTGGTACGTTCATTGACTTCCAACAATTGTCTGCGGAATAAGTCATTAATCGCGTAATTTCGATTATTTACTATGCCATCAATACGCTCACAGACCTGTTCACATGCCTCCAGTCCTCCAGATGACCAAACAAAAGGATGCGACATTGAAAAGCAGAATGAAACCTTTTCTCCGGATGAGCCATCGAAGAAACAGTCTATGTTCTCAAGTCTCGGTCTTCTCGATCGATTCTTGGCAGTATGGATTTTTCTTGCTATGGCAATTGGAATCATCCTGGGAAACTTTGTCCCAAGCACAGGTCCTGCCCTACAAAGAGGAAAGTTTGTAGGAGTCTCTGTTCCAATCGGTACATACAACCAACTCCCAACGCTCTTGTGGTCCTTACTGACTGGATGTTTTAGCCGTGGGTCTTCTCGTCATGATGTACCCTATACTATGCAAGATTCGGTTCGAATCCCTGCATCATGTTTTCCGAGCGAAGGATATTTGGATCCAGATGGCCTTCAGTATTGTTCTTAATTGGATTATTGCTCCTTTTCTTATGGTTTGTCATGCAACACTTCCGTGGCGCAAACTTTATCACTGACTTGGATCCATTAGCTGGCGTTGGCTTGGGCGTTTTTGCCCGACGAGCCAGAATTGCGACAGGGACTGATCATTGTTGGGTTGGCACGGTGCATTGCTATGGTAGGTCTAAACACTCAGCAACTCGCCCTTGGAAACGAGATTATGCTAACTCCTTCTTCTATCAGGTACTAGTTTGGACAGGGCTAGCCGGAGGCGATAATGAATATTGTGCCATCCTCGTCGCTCTCAACTCGGTTCTGCAGATGGTTCTTTTCGCTCCAATGGGGGTATTCTTCATCAGCGTCATCAGTGGCGATCCAGTCACTTTCGAATATTCCACAGCCGCCCAGAGTGTTGCGGTGTTTCTTGGAATACCTCTAGGAGCCGCAATCCTCACGCGTTTCGTGCTCCGACGAATTTCTGCAAAATGGTACGATGAGACGTTTCTGAAATGGCTTAGCCCATGGTCTCTCATCGGCCTGCTATTCACCATCCTTGTGCTATTCGCCTCACAAGGCCGCCATGTGGTCCACCAAATCGTCTCTGTGGTCCGAGTCGCAGCGCCGCTCATCGTTTATTTCCTGATCATCTTCTTTGCGACCCTCCTTGTCGCGTACAAATTAGGATTCGGTTATAGGCTGGCCACTGTACAGAGCTTCACGGCTGCCAGCAACAATTTTGAATTGGCCATTGCTGTTGCGGTAGCAATGTTTGGCGCGGATAGCAACCAGGCACTTGCTGCGACTGTTGGGCCTCTCATCGAGGTTCCTGTTCTGTTGGGTCTGGTATATGCTGTCAAATTGATAGCAAGACGAGTTGGATGGGATGACTAAAACAAAAAATGTAGACTATAGTTAGACTATCAATAATTATTTGAAGAACCAGCCCTAGGCGGGCAGTTTAATCAGTGACATGCCACTTTCATTCCATTGGACAGCACCGACTTCCCCCTCCGCTGCTCTCTCCACCTCCTTTTCACGTAATATCATAATGTTTCCAGGGTTGAATACATAGATATCTTCAACTTCATCTCTCTCCCCAACAGGTGTTAGCTCTTACAAAGCCCTTTCGTTACGAAGATTCTTGAGCCCAACTTTAACTATGCCTCGCACAAAAACCAAGACCAAGGTCGGTTACCTATGACTCATCCCATATATATATTTATGATTTCTTTTTACTCATGTTCTACTCATGTAGAGCGAAGATCTCACCCGCATTCGCAATAATCAACGGCGCTCAAGGGCAAAACGCCTAGACTATATTTGGGACTTAGAGGAAAAAGCAAAGAGATACGACGACTTAATTGCATCAACACCTCCCCCATCGCTATCGACATTTGATAAGTTGCAGTCCGAAAATGCCTGGATGAGAGGGTTACTGGCTACCCTGGGCTTCAACTTCGACTCTGTAGGCCCACCTCCAGGGAGCATTCACGACAGCGAACCCAACATGGTATCAGCCGTAGGGTCACCAGGTTAATAAATCATTATCTTCAGTTTCTAACTATTTCAAGATCATGGGCTCGGTTGCTAGTAGCATGGAGACTCGCCAATCTATGGAAAACCCAACTCCCTTGTCATTCTGGGAGCAATGGGATTTGTCGGGTCTATTGCCTGACATGGGACTTGATTTCAATATTCCGTTATTATCGAATGAGGACAATAATCTGACCAATTTGGATACTCTCTTAGCAGATCCGACAGAACCGAATCTTGAGTCTAGCCCGGATCAAAGGACTCAGGAGCCCACTGAGACAAGCGCTCCGAGTAATATAAATACAACTCTGTGCTCTTTGGCATGTCAATGGGTCATCCAATGCAATACCAAAGGCGTGGAATTGGATGTCTTGTATTTTCGGATGGAGCGTGGTTTCAAACAAGGGAACAGTCCGCTGGAGGGATGCAGGGTGGATAATCAATTGCTTCTTAAGGTTTTGACGGAAATATCTTGAGATAGGTTGATTTAATTTCCACTAATATGCGGCATTCTTTCTACTGCTTGACTGCACAAATTTGAAACGACCCTGTATGTAAATCAGTATTAGTTTCAGCAATCGAAAAGCCTTGTGATCTCACCAGCCCATTCATTAAAGTCACACTCCAAGCAAGCCTCCAGCATCATTCTTTCTTTGTGCTCCTCCACAGCAACCAGATGATTCCGATCGCTCGTTCGTCTCTCCAAGATGCATCTGACCCTGAACCAAATCATTGTAAACGTTGGTGTTACGGTGGGTGTCGACAATCACGATATCTGAGGGGAAATGGATGGTGAGCGAAACGCACGAAGCACAATCACATCCCGACAAATACCTTTGAATCCCGCCTCGGAGAGGTACTTCTCATACTCAAAATTGTTTGGGTTGTTTTAAAGAATGTGCAGCGTCAACCTCTGAAACCGGTGGTGAAGCTGTGGTACTCGGAGGGGATATGTATAGAGGGGTAGATTTGGCCACCGAAGCGCTGTGGCACACTCGGATAGGATATCTGAACCGTGGAGACTTGGGTGTGGTCCTTCAGCCAACCGGCACCCGGTACCGACCGCTAATGAGGGCCGAGCTGCTGGCAACGCAGCAGTGCTCGGCGTGCATGGCGGGAAAGCAACATCAGAAGAGGAACTCCCGCGCAAGACGGCCACGTCTGCATTTAACGAGAATATTCGAAATGATCCATTCGGACATCATGGAAATTCCCGTTGCCAAAGATGGTTCTAGGTACGTGATCACCTTCACTGACGATTATTCTCGCGGTCCGTGGGCATATTCCATTAGCAAAGAGGTGCAATTGTGCATGAAAACCAGGGTAGTTGGCCCAACTTTTCAAGCAGCGAGAGGTAAGAGGACGGTAGAACATTGAGAAAGGATGTGACTCCAGTTCTGTCTTCCGTCTGCGTGAGCACTTTCATGAAATCACACTACACAGGCAATGTGATAACAATGTTAAGTAAGAGGTAGCTGCACTCTACCCTCGCCAATTCCTTTCCGGGTGGACTGACAGC